TTTGGGGTTTAGGGTTTAGGGTTTAGGGTTTAGGGTTTAGGCTTCAGGCTTAGGGTTTTGGGTCTTAAGGCTTAGGGGTGTGGGGATTAGAGGAGGGTTTCAGGTTTTTAGGGACTCATGGCTTTGGGTTTTTTTCTAGGCCTTCAAGGGGCTTCTTGGGTAGGGCCCTGAACCCTGAACCCTGAACCCTAAGCAACGTGAGGTCTGAAACCTTCTCTGGGTTACGAAAGCCTTGCGCGGCTGGGTGTCATGACCACGTTCCGGGTTTAAAGGGTTTAAAGGGTTTAAAGGGCTTAAAGGGCTTAAAGGGCTTAACGGGCTTAATGGGTTTAATGGGTTTAATGAGTTTTGGGTTTAGGGTCTGGGGAGGCTTTTAGAGCTCCAGGAGATAGGGTTTAGGGTTTGCCGGCATGGGTTCGGGGCTTTCAGTTCGCAGGAAAGATCACCGTGGAGATGTTCCTTGACCTGCAGCTACTTCTGGCTTGACACCCACATCGTCTGCCCAAATCTCCCAACTCCTAAACTTCTAAAACAAGGCCCGAAACCCAAACCCCTCAATGCCCCCCCCCCCAAAAAAAAAAATGTGTATATATATATATATATATATATATATATCCCCAGACCCTTAACCCCAAACAATCCCTAAACCCCTAAATTCGCAACCCCAAGCTGCATGCCCCGAACCCAAATCCCCCCCCTCCCCCCATCCCCCAACAAAAAGCCCAAACCCCAAACCCCAAACCCCAAACCCCAAACCCCAAACCCTAAACCCTAAACCCCAAACCCCAAACCCTAAACCCTAAACCCCGAACCCTAAACCCCAAACCCCGAAGCTCCCAAACCCCTCAGCCCGGGCCCCAGTACCAATCACTATTCGAACCCTCAGCTCCCCGCCAGGGCTTAGGGTTTAGGGTTTAGGGTTTAGGGTTTAGGGTTTAGGGTTTAGGGTTTAGGGTTTAGGGTTTAGGGTTAAGGGTTAAGGGTTGAGGGTTGAGGGTTGAGGGTTGAGGGTTGAGCGTTTCGGGCTTAGGGTTCAGGGTTCAGGTTTCAGGGTTCAGGGTTCAGGGTTCAGGGTTTAGGGCCCTAGCACCCCTGTGAAACCCTAACGCCCTTAAATCCCCTGGGCCGTCAACAAAGGGCCCCAAGAACCTTGTAGCACCCGGCGTCTCTTTATTTTGCGGAGGTTTGGGTTTGTGATTTAGGGTTTAGGGTTGAGCGTTACTTTTAGGGTTTGGGATTTATAGGGTCTAGGGTTCAGGGTTTAGGATTTAGAGTGTAGGGTTTAGGGTTTAGGGATTAGGGTAGCTTGCAAGACCACCAGTGGATTTGGGGTGTGAAATGTTTGGGTTCCATGGGTTTGGGCGTCGTCTTGGGGGTTTGCATGTGGAGGCTTGGGTTTGATCGGGGGCTCAAGGGTTTAGGGTTTAGGGTGTTCTCTTTGGGGGGGGGGGGGGGGGGGTTCCTGATTCATTTCTTTCAGCACGTCTCCGTGGGGGGATACCAAGACCGTTTGCGCTTCTGTGCTCCAGTGTCGTAGCCCTAAACCCTAAACTGCTGTCGTTTAGGTTGAGGGTTAAACCTGTACATGGTTCGCCGTGGAGTTTCCCCAAAGCCCTAAACCCAAATCCCACTAGAGCTTGCCGTGAAATCAAAAGCCAGCTCTACATGCAACCCGCCAGCCTCAACCCTAGTTACCCTAAACCCTAAACCCCTAAAACCCTAACCCCAGACTACAACCCTAAAACCCAAAACCCAAAACCCTAAACCCTAAACCCGAAACCCGAAACCCGAAACCCTAAACCCTAAACCCTCTTTTACTATGTATATTTAAACCCTAATGACCTTCGTCGGCAAATGGTTTTTTTCCACCCGGGGGGGGGCCCTAAACCCTGACCCCCTTCGTCGGCAATGGTTTTTTTCCACCCGGGGGGGGCCCTAAACCCTGACCCCCTTCGTCGGCAAATGGTTTTTTTCCACCCGGGGGGGTCCTAAACCCTGACCCCCTTCGTCGGCAAATGGTTTTTTTCCACCCAGGGGGGGCCCTAAACCCTGACCCCCTTCGTCGGCAAATGGTTTTTTTCCACCCGGGGGGGGCCCTAAACCCTGACCCCCTTCGTCGGCAAATGTTTTTTTTCCACCCGGGGGCCCTCAAAACACCCCAAATGAGGGGGACCCCAGGATCGGCCCCGGCCCCAGTTCAAGATGCGATTTTTTAGTATTGAAATCGACGGTTCTGGGTGGCCTCCTGTGTTCTGGATTTTTGACAAAAACCGGGGGGGGCCCTAAACCCTGACCCCCTTCGTCGGCAAATGGTTTTTTTCCACCCGGGGGGGCCCTAAACCCTGACCCCCTTCGTCGGCAAATGGTTTTTTTCCACCCGGGGGGGCCCTAAACCCTGACCCCCTTCGTCGGCAAATGGTTTTTTTCCACCGGGGGGGGCCCTAAACCCTGACCCCCTTCGTCGGCAAATGGTTTTTTTCCACCCGGGGGGGCCCTAAACCCTGACCCCCTTCGTCGGCAAATGGTTTTTTTCCACCCGGGGGGGCCCTAAACCCTGACCCCCTTCGTCGGCAAATGATTTTTCTCCACCCAAAAGGACCCTAAACCCTGACCCCCTTCGTCGGCAAATGGTTTTTTTCCACCCGGGGGGGGCCCTAAACCCTGACCCCCTTCGTCGGCAAATGGTTTTTTTCCACCCGGGGGGGGGGCCCTAAACCCTGACCCCCTTCGTCGGCAAATGGTTTTTTCCCACCCAGGGGGGGCCCTAAACCCTGACCCCCTTCGTCGGCAAATGGTTTTTTTCCACCCAGGGGGGGGCCCTAAACCCTGACCCCCTTCGTCGGCAAATGGTTTTTTCTATTTGGGGCATAGGGTTTAGGGCTCGTAGGGTTTGGGGCATAGGGTTTAGGGCTAAATTTTGCTCCCAAAACACCCCAAATGAGGGGGACCCCAGGATCGGCCCCGGCCCCAGTTCAAAATGCGATTTTTTGATGGTTCTGGGTGGCCTCTCGTTTTCTGGATTTTTGATCGAGCTTCACCGGCTTCAGGATTTCAAGTTTTTTCACGTTCTGTCAAGGTTTTTCAAAGTTTTCAGTGTTTATTAAGGTTTTCCAATGTTTTTCAGGGTGTTTCAGGGTTTTTTAACCCTCAATTCTGATGACGGGCCGACCTTTTCACAGCCTAGTGGGTCGTATTTTCCAATTTTAAAGGCAAAATAGTCTTCGGAGACCCCCCCTTGCCTCAAACTCCGACCCCCCCTTGAGAGGGAAAGTTTGCCTCCCAAAACACCCCAAATGAGGGGGACCCCAGGATCGGCAAGGCTCCCAATTAAAAATGCGAATTTTTAGTACTGAAATCGACGGTTCTGGGTTTTCTGGATTTTTGACCAAAACCGAGCCTTCACCGATCGGGGCTTCTAAACCGTAGGGTTTAGGGCCCTAAGAGCATAAAGGGCTTATTGCGGGCCTTAGATTAGATTTCGGGTTTTGGGTCCGTTAAAAACTAAAATATTTTGGACCAATTGGACTTTGAGCTTTTAAGCCTACCGGGAAAGTATTGAGTGAACTTTATATTTTCTCAATGTTATGGGTTTCTTGGGTGGGTGGGATTTTTTTCCAACGCTTGACAAGCTGCTTGACTAGTGAATGCTCGGACTTGAGATGCTGAACCCTAAACCCTAAACCCTAAACCCTAAACCCTAAACCCTAAACCCTAAACCCTAAACCCTAAACCCTAAACCCTAAACCCTAAACCCTAAACCCTAAACCCTAAACCCTAAACCCTAAACAAACCCAAAGAGGCCCTAAGCCCCCAACCCCAAGACGAGGCTCACCTCGGTCACGCAGAAGAGCTGGCAGCGCTTTCTGGACTCAGGGTCTCAGGGTTATTTAGGGTTTAGGGTTTAGGGTTTAGGGTTTAGGGTTTGGGGTTTGGGGTTTAGGGTTTGGGGTTTAGGGTTTAGGGGTGAGGGTCTTAGGGATGGAGGGCTTGGGGCTTCGGGGGCTTAGAGTTTAGGGTTTAGGGTTTAGGGGTTAGGGTTCAGGGTTCAGGGTTCAGGGTTCAGGGTTTAGGGTTTAGGGTTTAGGGCTTAGGGTTTAGGGTTTAGGGTTTCTATTAAGTTTCGTTCCCCTAAGGTTGGAACCCTAGATGTTCCCCTTGATGTGGTCCAAATATGGCCCTTATGCTACCTTAAGGACCTTTAACAAGGATCCCGAAGACCCAAGGGTACAACCTTAAGGGTTCAAGGTACAACCGCTGGAATAAACCCTGTAAACCTCGGAAACCCTATAGACCCTATATGCTTCAAAATACGGGAGCCTCTCATGCCCACGAGGAGATCTTTAGTAAGACTTGCTTGGCTGCCCCGACGAAAAACTCACGGACCCTAAATGTTTGGTCAAACGTCACATCATTAGAGGCCTTTAGGGTTTAGGGCTTAGGCTTCGGGCTTAGGGCTTAGGGCTTAGGGCTTAGGGTTTAGGGTTTAGGGTTTATAGGGTTTAGGGTTTAGGGTTTAGGGAGGCCCAAATACCGAAGCACTGAAAACCCTAAGCCCCTCGTGCAGGATAGCTTGAAGCTCGACGAACGCCTGGAGTTCAACGAGGGCGGCAACCTGAGATTCGGGTTCTGGGGGTTCTGGAGTCGCTAGTGGGGCTTTGGGTACTTTGCGGGCGGGCTTCTTTTGGAACTTCGGGGGCATTTCGCTTCGATCTTGCCTCACTTAGTAAGCCAGTTGTTGAGGCACAACCCTCCTTTTTGGGCCCAATGGATGCATGCGCAGCCGTGGGCGTCCACCGTTGGCCAACTTGTCCATGTCCCAAATGCCCGACTCCGAAAGCATGAGTTTAGAGAGTTCATCCGAATTCAGATCAATCAAGTCTTATATGATATGGGTATGCACCCCCATATTCCTCCAGCGATGTCCCCTACTCTAGTATACATATTACGTCGTATACCTCATAAGTAGCGTGTTGCCGTGAGCCCATGTGCTTTTCAGCCGGATGGCGACCCGCGAGTTTTCCGCCTTGTTGTTGGCGCTCCTGCATGCTTCCAGCATCGAGCTCGGCAGCGCAGACGGGCCCACGACAACAACGACGACGACAACGTCGACGCTGCTGGGGCGAGGAGTGGTCGTAGAGGGGGCCGGGAGATCTCTCGTCAATGGCGTCTACTTCGCGAGCACGCCCCACGCGTCCCACACCTGGGTGGATCCTAACCAAGGCTACTATGTGCTCAAGGAGGCTACGTCTGGCACCCAAACAGGCCTCATCGACGTCTACTACAATCAAGACTTTGGTGGCTGGAGGATAGCTGCAGATGGTCAAGAGAATTATCTTGCAGATTGTCTTTCCTGTACCTGGTCGTCCTTGGCGGCAGGGGAGGACCCTGCCCCTTCCGTATCCGCCTTCGGCGGCAGCGGCGACGGCAGTACCACCGCATCCACGTCATCCACATCCCCGCTCCCGCCCACAGCTTTGCTCAGCATGTGCCTCGTCTCACTTCTCTGCCTGCTCGCCTGACGGGTGGCTCCCGCACCAGCAAAAAGCACGTGAAACCTGGCGAGTCGTAATGCCGAAGCAAGGCAGGGGCATTTTTGTACTGGGTACTTGGGGCAGCTGAAGTGGATGATCGTACAACGAAACGCATAACTAAACCCATAGGAAGCACGTGACAGCAAGCTCTTCTTCGCGGACAAGTAAGCCAGAATGTCAGAGCTTACAGGGTTGAGGATTCAGGGGATAGTTGATTTGGCTTTACTTGCCACAGAACGTGGGCAAGAATCCCCTCTATGCCCCAGATGTCTAGAGCTGCCCGGGTCGATCGTTCCCTTGTGATGCCCTAGACCCTAAGCCCTAAGTTAGTAAGCCCCAAACCCTAAACCCTAAACCCCAGACGAAAGCTGCTTTTAAGGCCATTACAAAAAATGTACAAAAAGTGGGGCTTGCAGTTGAGGTGTCTGGCCAAAAGCCAAGTTGAGAATCATGAACCCTAAGCCCTTCACCCTAAACCCTAAACCCTAAACCCTAAACCCTAAACCCCCCAGAACCCTAAACCCAACCGAAGCTCAGAAAGTGAGCTCCGAAGGTGACATCGGCATCGCTGGGGGCATCCAGGCCGGTGTCCAAAAGCCCCTAAGGTTGCGAGTTTTAGGGTAGGTTTGGGGTTTAGGGATTGGGGTTTAGGGTGTAGGGTGTAGGGTTTGGGGTTTCGGGTTTTTCGGATCATGGAACCTGGCAGTATTCAAAAAAGAAGGCTCTACAACCCCGTGCCCCTTATGCGGCTAAACCCCAAACCCTAAACCCTGAACCCGGATCCCTAAAACCTCCCCCCCAATGTTTAGGGTTTGAGGGGGGTGAGGGTTTAGGGCAGGGTTGAGGGTTTAGGGCGTTTAGGGCCTACCTGGAACCCTCTTTACCTACAGTTTTATGGGCTGTACCTACGAATGAAGGGGTAGTTACTACTAAACTCTACAGTCTTTATTATGGGTTGTACCTACTAATACATCTAAACGTAGGTAAGTAGAGTCCCAGGTAGGAAACCCGTAAACCCCTAAACCCCCCTAAACCCCTCAACCCTTAAACCCTCTTTCGGGCCACCCAAAATCGCAACAACGCTGCAGCCCCTTAGTGAGCACGAAGTCCACAAGATCGTTTCTGTGGGCACTTCGTGATTTAGGATCGTTTCTCCACGGTTTAGGGTTCAGGGTTTAGGGTTTAGGGTTTCGGGTTTAGGGTGTAGGGTCCCCAAACCCCAAACCCTAAACCCTAAACCCTGGCTGAACCCCCAGGCTGAACATCACAGACTACGGGTTCGAGAGTGCAATTTAGTGACAATGTAGAAGCTCACAAATTTCAGACTCCAAGAAAGGGCGGTGCTTCGGGATAAATGTGAATGTCACTCTTCTTCTTTGCAAAGGAAACCTGCTGATAAGTAGTTTTCGATGTGATTTAAAGCGCCACTCGGATATGAACACATGAGGAAGCACCCGTTGCTTGAATGCCTTGTATTGCAGGCAGCAGTTAAACATTTACACGACTGGAAGAACACACACGCAGAGTGAGATAGAGAGAGAGAGAGCGCGAGAGGAAGCGAGGTTTCAAGCTGTGCCCAGAGCCCCGAAAAGAAATACCCTGAACCCTAAACCCTAAACCCTAAACCCTAAACCCTAAACCCTAAATGTCGCAAGAGGTTCTGGAGCCAGCTTCCTTGAACCCAACCAATGCCCGGGTCTCGGGCTCTTGGAGACTTCAGGTTTATGGTGGCAGGTTTTGGGTTTAGGAACTAGAGATCAGGGCCGGGCTTAATGACTAGAATCTTAGAGTTTGGGGTTTAGGGCAAGAAGGACTTCAGGGTAAAGCTGGTCTAGTTCAGGCTTAGGGTTCAGGCAAGGAGGATGAGGGATTAGGGTTAGGGTTTGAGGTTTCGGGTTGAGGGGCTTCAGGGCTAGTTTTCCGCCGGTTCTTGGAAAGATTGCCTCAAACTGGTTGGCCATATTCATCAGGGGCCATTAAAAACACAAACCATGTTCGACAATAGCGTCTAAGAACTTAGGGGCTCTAACTGCGTGCTTAAAGGGAGGGCGTAGAGCTAAACATTCAAGGGTCGGGCTCAGGGGCTTAGGGTGTGCATAAGCGGTGAGGATGTAAGGTCTTCGCTGTTAGAGATTGTGTGTTTCGAGGGCGAGTTAGGATGAAGGTTTACGGGTTTGGGCTTGAGGCTTTGGGGTTTCCGCCGGGTAGGGCAGTCTAGGTCTAGGTTTAGGTTTAGGGCTTTTTATTTAGGGGGGGGGGGGGGGGGGGGGGGGGGGGTTGTGGTTCCGGTGATTTCGAAGCAAGGACCAGCCCGAAAAGCTCAAGCACTGGTGGGCTGTGAGCTCAGAGGTTGGCTTAATTGTTTAAGCTGCACGAGCCCTGGTGCCTTAACCCTAAACGCTAGACCCTAAACCCTAAGCCCTAAACCCTAAACCCTAAACGGTAGCACCCACGATGGGCCCGGTACCGGAGCACGTTCTCCTCGCGTTCTTCTCGGGACCAGTACTGCTCCCTTATCATTACTCCTGAGGGCCCCAGCCCAGAGGGGGGTCCAGGACCCCTCGCCGCAGCGTGCCCAGGAACGGAAGAAGTTTTAGAAGTGGGCGGTTGGCTTGAGTTGGGACCTAAACCCGAAAGGAATAGGTTTGGGTGGTTTTGCCGCCTGAGACGGTGTGGGGTGGGAGAAAAGTGTTAGGGTGGCAATCCACGATCGGGCCATGGCCGCCCTTGGCCTTGCTCGATGCCTTCAAGGCTCTACTGAAAACCGTCACATGTACAGCTTGTACGCCATACTACAGCACACCCTAAACCCTAAACCCTAAACCCTAAACCCTAAACCCTAAACCTTAAACCCTAAGCCAAAGGTCGAGCGGATCCGACGCTACGGCGGCTCCACCTGCGGCGCCATGCCCTGGCCAGAGGCTGTCTGCGCTCTCTCTTTCTTGTGCAGCTACGCTTCAGGGTTTAGGGTTTAGGGCTAGGGTTTAGGATTTAGGGTTTACGGTTTAGGGTTTGAGGCTATGGGTTTAGGATTTCGGGTTTAGGGTTTACTGGCTGGTTCTTAGTAGGTAATGAGGGAATAAGGTACCCTATATCCCCCTATCTATACCCTTTAAGGGATTATATAGGGTACCTCCTTCGCCCATTCTCTCGCTCTCGCTCTCGCTCTCTCTCTCTCTCTCTATCTTTCTCTCTCTCTCTCCCTCTCGCTCTTTCTATCGCTCTCTCCCTCCCTCCCTCTCGGAAAAAGGCAGTCCAGGGTTTCGGGGTTTGGGGTCTATCCCCTACACCCTAGCCTCCCCTAACCCCAAAACGTTTAGGGCTCAGGGGTTGAAGGTGCGTACGCGCCCCGGCACACCGAGCTGCCATTCGTGCAGCCCTGCTCATTCACTCGGAATGCGACTTGTCCCCTAAGCACCACCCCTGCTCGCCTTAAGTTAAACCCTACCCTAAACCCTAAGCCCTGAAACTCTGAAGTTTGAATCCTCAACCCGACACCTACTGGCACCTGCGCGACACCGATTGGTGTGGAGCTTAAGGTTTAAGCTTCCCTCCCTGTGGTTTGGTTTTTGTATGGTCTAGGGATGAGGGTTTAGGGTCTATAAGGTTTGGGAGCTAGGGCTTAGTGTTCAGGGTTTATAAGGTTTAGTTTTTTCGTGTTTCGGGGGTTTAGGGTTCATAAGGTTTAGGAGTCAGGGCTTAGGGTTGTAAGACCGCAGATGCCAACAAATCCTTCGAGCCTGTCGGCAGGACCACCATCAAGAGGCCGCTCTGCTCTCATACGGCAGGATCTAGGGTTTAGGGTGTAGGGTTTAGGGTCTAGGGTTTAAGGTTTAGGGTTTAGGGCCACAACTGGGTGAGTGTTTTGGGCTTAGTAGATATTCGGGATATACATATACATATTTCTATATATTGAAACACTACTTCACCATCAAGACATCAGAGGTCCCCTGCTGCACCCACCTACACAGTGAGTCTTATCCTGCAGGCCACCGTAGACCCCGCGAAGTTCCTGGTGCGTGTTTAAGTTTCGTTGCCATGAAGAGTTGGACAAAGAGGTAAATGCACATACATATATGTATTGGTTTGCACGGTGTCCTTTATTTGAGGAAACTGAACGCAAGTATCAACAGCAACCCACAACCCAGGTACAACCTAACCTTCAGAGCACCTGAACCCCCAACCCCGAGATCCTGCACTGCAAGATTTGGGTCGACACGCATCCCCTGCGGAAGATAAAGATTGCCACAAGGGTTTAGAGTTTAGGGTTTAGGGTTTGGGGTTTAGGGTTTGGGGTTTGGGGTTTGGGGTTTAGGGTTTAGGGCAAAGCCCTGGCACGAGGGTCGATCCTGTTGAAGATGGGGCTTCCCGAAACCCCAGAGCCTATGGACCCCAATCCCGAAGCGCCCCTGGGAGATCCTTGCGCTCCATGAAACCCTAAACCCTAAACCCTAAACCCTAAACCCTAAACCCTAAACCCTAAACCCTACACCCCCCCGGCCCCAAAAGCCTGAAGCGCTTAAAAACCATAGATCTGAAGCCATGCAGCTGCTAAGAACGATTGCCGCTTGGAGCGGCTGGAGAAGATGATGTCTCGCGCAGCATCTCGGAATAGCTTTCAGTTGAAGTTTCGGGTTTCGGGTTTAGAAATTTAGGGTTTAGGGTTTAGGGTTTAGGGTTTCGGGTTTAGGGTTTAGGGTTTTCGGTCTTGGGCTTGGGGTTCGGGGTTTCGGGTTGTGGGTTTTGCGTGGAGGGGGGTTTTCTGGGCGCTGTGGTTTCAAGGCTGGGGCTGTAGGATCTTGGAAAACACGAAATTTTGACCCCTACACCCCAAACCCTAAACCCTAAACCCTCAGCCCTCAACCCTGAACCTCCCTAAACCCTAACCCCTTTATTCATGGTAGGGCAGTCTGGGGTTGAAGAAGTGGATGCAGATGCTGCGCAGCCCATGTTCCCCCAAGCCAGTAAACCGTACACCACCCTAAACCCCAAACCCCAAACCCCAAACCCCAAACCCTAAACCCTTGCACCCGACTGTGAGGTGAAGCATCTCTCCAGTGACAGGCGCACTGGCGGGGGACCGTAAGTCTCGTAAAAACCCTGAAGCCCTTCAACCCGAAACCCCCTAAACCCTAAACCCTAAACCCTAAACCCTAAACCCTAAACCCTAAACCCTAAACCCTAAACCCCCTCATCCCCTGAAGCCTTCAACCCTTAAGTTCCAAACGCTTGAACCCTTCAACCCTGAAACTCCTGAACCCCTGACCCCTCAAACCCTAAACCCTAAACCCTAAGCCCTTCAACTCTTGACGTGATGTGGCAACGTGTGCAGCTTCGGGAGGAACATAAAAGTTTCAGATTAGGATTTAGAGGTTGAGGGTTTAGGGTTTAGGGGTTTAGGGTTTTCAGATTAGGGTTTTGGGGTTCAGGGGTGCTATGTCCGAGCATGTGTTGGTGCACATCTGTAGGCCCTGCATAGTCAGCTCTCTAGAATCGGGTCGTATCGAGTCGCGGGTCTGGTTCATAAACAAATCCTCATGAAACCCTAAACCCTCAACCCTCAACCCTGAATCAACAGAGTAGCGTTTAGGGGGCTGTTGGCTCCTTCGCGCCGTCGAACCCGACCTCTCAACTCCGAAAAAGTCGAAGCCCTGAAGTCCGCAAAGCTTGAGGGCTTAGGGCTTATATGGGGTTAGGGCTGTGAGGGTTTGGGTTTAGGGTTTAGGGTTTCGGGTTTAGGGTTTAGGGTTTAGGGGTGTAGGGGTTCCGGGGGGGGGGGGGTAATCATTATCGGTGTTATCGGGGGTTTGGTTAGAGGAGCTCATAGGGGTTTCAGCAGTTTCGGGTTCTTCCTTGCCTTCCTTCCTGGGTGGACAGGAAACGCCAGCACAGCCGCCTGACAAGTGGCTACACTTCCTCGGGAGGCCACCCTGCCTGATGGAAGAGTTACGGGTTGAGGGTTTAGGGTTTAGGGTTTAGGGCTTAGGGTTCAGCGTTTAGGGTTCAGGGTTTGGGGCTTAAACCCTTGTAGAGAGCCAACTGGGTGCTTTTTTTTTCTCTGGGAGTCGGACCCCTGTGTATAGCACTCAACTACACAAAATCAGGCCTCCTAAAGCACTGTCGGGAGGACCATTCCTAAACTTTAAACTAACCCTAGACCCTAAACCCTAAACCCTAAAACCTAAACCCTAAACCCTAAACCCTAAACCCTAAACCCTAAACCCTAAACCCTCAACCCTGATCCCTGAACCCTAAACCCTAAACCCTAAACCACAGCCAACTGCAACTCGCCAGGCTCCTCCCTGTCCTCCGCCTCCGATGACCGCTCTGAAAGCCATGACTCAGAGCACTCCTGAACAGAGAGTTCTTTTGGCACAAGGACGGGGATTTAAGGTTTAGGGTTTGGGGGCGTTAAACCCTAAACCTAAACCGTTAAACTCTAACCCTAAATCTAAACCCTAAACCCTACAAACCCTACAAACCCTATAAACCCTATAAACCCCATAAACCCTATAAACCCTATAAACCCTATAAACCCTAAACCCTTTAACGCAGCCACTTCAGATTCAGAGGTGTCGATGTAGGGGAGGGGGTGTCCTCTTAAGGTTGCCTTCGAAGTCTCGGGCCTTGCAGATGGCTGCAGGACGAGGTTGGCCCATCTAAGCCAGACCTGATTCCAGCCGCTTCAGACAGGTCGATTCTGTCAAGGGTTTAGGGTTTAGGGTTTAGGGTTTAGGGTTTAGGGTTTAGGGTTTAGGGTTTAGGGTTTAGGGTTTAGGGTTTAGGGTTTAGGGTTCTCCGTAGAGGGATTCCGAACAGCGAAATGCCGCAGGACGCCACGGTGGTGAGCGCTCATCTTCTACCTCTGCTCCGGAGACGACATAGCTTTGGGCCAATGGGTGCTTCCCTACGAATTGCTCAAGAACACCCCAGAAGATGTAAAACAGTTCTTCCTTTTCAGGGTAATTTCTATAGGGATTAGTTGAATCTTTTTTTTGGTAGGGGGAGGGGGTTCTTAAGCAAAGAGTAGTTCCACGTACCATGGATCACAAGGATCCTTCCCAAGCGTTGGACGTCTACCTGGCTGCAGAGGGTGGAGTTGCGTTGAACCCCTAAAACGCTAACCCCTAAAATCCTTAAGCCCCTGTACCCCTAAACCCTAAGCCCCTGAACCCCCTAAAACCCCTGAACCCCTAAAACCCCTAAACCCCTGAACCCCTAAAACCCCTAAGCCTAAACCACTAAAACCCGAAAGCCCCTAAAGCCAAAAACCCCTAAAACCCCACAACACCCCTAAAGCCCCTAAACCCCCTAAAAGCCCTAAAGCCCCTAAAAACCCCTAACAGCCCTAGAACCCCTAAGCCCCTAAACCCTCCGAAGCCCCACACCCTCAGCACTTCCCAGCCTACACTTCGCACGGACGGGGCGCGGCGCACGCCGCCCGGCCTTATACAGAGCCTCTGCCCGCCGTTTCGTGTTTGCGCACCTCCGGCAGGGCCCAGATGAGGGAAAGAGGTCCCAAATACGCCTGAATGAGCCCCTAAGCCCTAAACCCTAAAGCCTAAACCCCTAACCCTACACCCTAAACCCTGAACTCATGAGCCTCACTCGACCCTTGCCTTCCTTTGGTGGGCTGAGGGTTTAGGGTTTAGGGTTTAGGGTTTAGGGTTTAGGGTTTAGGGTTTAGGGTTTAGGGTTTAGGGTTTAGGGTTTAGGGTTTAGGGTTTAGGGTTTAGGGGCTGGCCCTACAACAACAGGCATGGCGCCAAGCTCAAGAGGCTACATAGGTGGTTAGTAGGATTTAGGGTTTGGGTTTTAGGGTTTAGGGTTTAGGGTTTAGGGTTTAGGGTTTAGGGTTTAGGGTTTAGGGTTTAGGGTTTAGGGTTTAGGGTTTAGGGTTTAGGGTTAGAAGGTTTAGGGTTCAGGGCTTAGGGCTTAGGGCTTTGGAGTTCCGGGTTTTGGAGGCTAGGTTTAGGGTCTAGGGCTTCGGGTTTAGGGTTAAGCGCAGTTGGTGGGAATCTTGTGCATAGGGTGTCGACTAAACCCGGAACCCTTAACACTAAACCCTAATCTTTGTGGTGCTTTAGTGTAACTTTAGACCTTTACCCTTTTTGGGGTTTATTGGGTTTCTTAAGAAGGCAGCTAAAAGTTTGATTTTTTACTACCCTCCTAAGTGCAGCCAAGTAATGGTGGGGCGCCAACACGAAGCCATTGCTTGTACACGAATTCGTGCCCCCCAAAGGCTGCGGCCGCAAATTGTTTGAAGTTGCCTGCCACGTCGGCGCCGTTTCGCCCGGAACTCCGGGACTCTCGGACGTGGGGCTTGGTGGTTTAGGGGTTAGGGGTTAGGGTTTAGGGTTTAGGGTATAGGGTTTAGGGTTTAGGGTTTAGGGTTTAGGGTTTGGGTTTGGGGGTTAGGGGTTAGGGGTTATAGGTTATCGGAAGATCCACAGTTTTGGAAAGTTCCGAGAGCCCGTTGTGTTCGGTGTGAGAGCCCCAAATGCAGTGTACCCAGCCAGGGCAGCCTGTAACCAAAGCGTTCCTGCAAGTGCTCCCCAGGCTCATCTCAGCTCACTCGCAGCACCCGCCGTGTCACAAGATACTCGTGCGGAGACTTAAGGGAGACTGGAACGGACCACCAACACCAGGGCATCTGCATTGAAATAGCAGGAGTCAGGACCCCAAGTAGGCCCTTGTTCCTTTTTTTGTAGGGTTAGGTTCCCATGGCACGCTGCTTATTCCTAGGTTACTCTGTGGTCTAGGGAGTCTTCTACGCAACTCGAAACCCTAGAATCCCTAACCCCGAATCCTAAACCCCAAAAACTCCTGAAGTCAACTTCAGACCCTAGACCCTTCAACCCCCTCCCTTCACCCCCCCGCCCCTAAACCCTAAACCCTAAACCCTAAACCCTCGGCACTCTTAAACAACTTTGCTCCGACCTGCGCTTGGGTCCGCCCCATGACCCCCCCCATCAGCTTGACTGTGGATCTGAGACGCAGAGCCTCGCGCCATGAAAGCTATGCTTTGCGGGGTCAGGGTATTGGGCTTTTGTAGTTTAGGGCTTGGAGGCTTTTAGGGTCCCCTAAACCCTAAACCCTAAACCCTAAACCCTAAACCCTAAACCAGGGTCCAGAAGAGTTTTGGAGTTTGTAAGGCGTGTAAGGTGCAGGGTGCCGAGGCTCCCCAGGGCTTCTAGGGCAGAGGCCCGCTATAGATGACTGGATACAATGCCCGGAAGGTTGTACCTTGGTGGAGCCTACGGGGTTTAGGGTTTCGAGGTGTTTTTTTCTTTCTTTTTGTGTTTAATCTGCTCTAAACCCGGGTCCCGAAACCACAATTTAACCGTAAGCGCCAAACCGATGCCGTGTTTCAAAGCAAAACCCGGAAAAATCCTGGGAAGCGAGGTTCACCGGCAGGCCCTGTTTGCAGGACTGGCCTGGTTGGGTCTTGGTTTGGCAGCTTAAGGGTTTATGGTTCAGGGTTTGGGTTCAGGGTTCAGCGTGCACTTAGCATGAAAAGCTTCTTGGGGCGCCTTGCCTGTTCTTGTGGTCTAAACTGTCCAAACTCGTATGTGCTTTGGAGGATGCTGCGCGAGAAACTGCAAGCCTTTTGTTTGCCAGCGCAAGGTGGCAAGCATGTCGTAACTGCGAACGGAAGCCTCGGGAACGCTAAGTCAAACCTCAACCCTAATTACGCCCTAAACCCCAAACCCTAAACCCGAAACCCGGCATGAAGTCCGATAAGCTCTAGAGCAAGGCGCATGCACAGCAGAAGCATGGCGGCCTCTGGCTCAAGGAAGCTGCTGATTTGTACGAGTAGCAGAGGCGTGGTCCTGGGAAGAGGCATGGAAGAAAGCGATGCCAGCGATGAGGGTTTCGATCTCTTCGCTTTCATCGACGAGGCCAATCAAGAGGGCCAAGAAAAGAAGAAGAGGAAGGCCGAAGGGAAACAGCGCCGCAAGAGCTCTTGCAACAAGATGCTCAAGGAGGAGGACGCACTTCGTGCATAGGTAATAAGGGCTCCTGGAGACATGCATTTTGCAACCAAGCACTGGGAACGCCTGTCTCATCGAGCCTATGCCCCACCCTCCCCCCGCCCCCCCCTCTCCACCGACCCCCCCCCCCCCCAAAAAAAAAAAAAACCCAAAACCCCCCCCCCCACTGCGGCTATGTGAGGAGCCGAAGGAAGGGCTAGCGAGCACACTGCCAGCAACATCTGCGACGTCGAACGTTGGGATGAAGGCTGCCTCACAGCAGCAGTGGATAGCAGTGCTGACCAGTGGTTCGGATGACACCTGTATCGGGACGATACCACAAAAGGTCGATTAACGTGAACCCCTACAAGCCAAGCAGCTCCAAACCGCAGGGAAAAAAAATCACCAAGTGGCTGAGGACTCCGGCCCCAAGGAGAAGGAAGTGCCTCCACCGCCAGCACCAGCATGCAACTCGGCTGCCCTGGGCGATCATGACATAGGGGCGAGACCGACATCGCAAAGTCACGCACCCTTGCCGAGAACAGTCGCCAAGAGCCTAGGCGCATGGTAATTCTTGGACAAATTCAATCCCAAATCCAATCATTGAAGCTCATGGTTTGGATTTCAACTTCTAGGCCCGGCTCCCAAAAACGTGCGCTTGTTCGCGCTTCAATCGCTCGGCATCACGAAAACATGGCAGGGACATACTCTTGCTGCCTTTCGGCTCCTGGACAGCCTTGCTTCGTGCGCCAGTTTTCGGGGGATCTGAGTTTCACGGGTCCCAGCTTGTGCCCCATTTCGGTCCCTGCCCACATTTGCAAGTCCTTTCGAGACGTCGCACTTGGCTTGGGCAGCACGCTAAACCCTAAACCTATGAACCCTGCAAACCCAACCCCTACACCCTATGACCGCACACGCGTTCCATGGTCGTGCTCGCCCTTCCCCTTCTTGGTCCTGTGTGCATACTCCTCGTGCCGGGTCGCCGTGTCTTCTACTGTTTGTGGCCTTTGGAGCTTCAGACATCCAGACACTGTGCAGATACACAGATGAACAGTACAGATAACTCTGTATATATATATATATATATATATGTATATACACATGTATGTATATATATATATATACATGTACATGGTACAGCTACAAGCTAGTACATCCAGTATCGCATGGCGCCCATATCAGGCCCGCAGTCATCGTTCGGCATCGTTTGCTTGTTCAAAACCAGAGCCAGAAACGAATAAGCCCTGAACCCAAGAACCCTCGATAAACCCTGTACCCTTGGAAGCCCAGTGGCACCCTTTTCCCTTTTTCGGGGTAATGGGTTTCCTTATATAATACCCATCCCACAATAGGGTGCCCTTATCATAATATAGCTACTGGGCTACCAAGTACCTCAGGGCCACGTGGGGCAGTTCGCCTGCGCGCGTGCAGCACGCAAAGACCTCGAACGAGTCCGCGCCAACCCAAAGGACTGGGTATCAGGGCCTATAGGGCTTAGATAGGGCTTGTAGGGCTTACAGGCTTATGTAGGGCTTATAGGTCTTATAGGGCTTATCGGGCTTTTGGGGCTTAGGGTCCAAGGGCATAATTACGGAGTTTGCGGCTTGGTTGCGTACCATCCTCGAGATCGCTCTAGCTGCGAAGACGTGGTCCGCCGCGAGTAAATCGGCGTCCAGGGTCCCCCAGCATTGGGCCTGCCGACCGCGAGCGAAGCTTTTATGGATGTGTTTTTATCTTCTCTTCAGCCTTTAAGGACCAACCAGTGCATCGCCAGTTGCCGTCGGTTGCTTTCAGCAGGACTACTGGACAACCTCCCTAAAGAGTGCCCGGTGTGCCGCTCAACTTGAACATTGTGCAGTTTTCTAGTAACTTAGTTAGCCCAGTCTCACTTTTATTCCGTTTTTGTGGTTCATTTCACACACGAATGAAGCAAGAGAAGGCTATCCTAGTTTCTCTTGGGGACAGGGGAACGTAGTTTTGCCCCTCTACGGGAGGGAAAGTCCTGCCACGCTTGCTGCAGAATTGTGTAGTCGTTTAGATTAGGGTTTTGGGTGTTGGATTTCATCCCTTCTTGCAATTCTCACCACGCTCGGCCCCTCATGCACAGCAAACTTCCGGAAAAAGCAAACTAAAGATCCATGTCTCGTGTGTCCGAGGCCAGAAGCGCATAAAGCAGCCTGAGTGGTGGCAGAAGAATAAGAAAGGCGTCAAAGGCGGTCCCGGTGCGTGGATTGCTCGGTGCGAGCCTGGATGACAAAGCCATAGAATCCACATCTTTAAAGTGTAAAGTCAGTGCTGCTTAACTTCCCGAGGCTGTATGAACCTTCGTGCCTGAATGCCCCTATCCCTCAACAGCCATTGCACATCGGTGGTCTATCGGGTCGTGTGCTGACTGAAGGCAGCACCGAAGAATTTGGAAAGGGCGCTGACAACACGAATCCATCATGCTTCTGTGCCGGTCTGATTTCTACCGTAGGATTTTCGAGCCTCCCATAATGCTGAGGAGATGGCACGGGGGAGCAGACGCAGCTATCATACGTTTTACACACTGACCCTTGGCTGCATCTCCAAGTCCCTAGCTAAACCGGCCAACGCGCTTTAGGGCACCGGGGCTGTTGGTTCAGAGTTGCGGAGATTAGGATTTTGTGCTTGGACACTTTCGGGTTTAACTAGTACACTTTGGACGTTCGTGTTCAGGTCTCTCAGCGTTCAGGTTTCAGGGCATCCTGGAGTTTATAGTAATGTGGTCTGCTGATAAGTGTGCCCCCCCCCCCCCCCCAACAAATGCATCCCCGTCTTTAGGGTAGTGTTGGGGGGGGCCCCCCGACCCCCCCCCCCCCCCCCCAAACCGGTACCCTGAACGCCCTAGCGCCCTAAACCTCAAACCCTAACTCACTAGAACTTAACTTCAATTCCCAGCCCTAACATGCACTGCAATCTTAACTAAGCCAAAACAAACGCCTGAAATGCTAAAGCCCCAAGATTCCCCAAAACCCTGAATCGTGAAGCCATTGACGCTGCTGCTGACGCATCAGCTCTTTTCGACCCAAGGTTCCAAGTCCCTAAGCCCAAACCCTATACTTTGGCTCCAAAGCCTAGTAGGGTGTAGGGTTTGGGTCCCCAGTCCCTAAACCGTCCAGGAACAAAGGCGAGAAGTGGCAGTTCACCACTAAAATCTACAGCGTGCAGCTCAATCCGGCCGAGGCGCCAAGGGAAGGGGGGGGTGGGGGGGGGGACGGAGGGGGGCGGGAGAAGGCCTCGAGCAACCGTCAGAACCCGAAGCCCGAAAGCCAAAACGGATGCCTTCTGCAGATTGTTGCAACTCTTGCCTTTTGAGGTCTTGCTCCAACACACCTGGGCCCTGAAACTCTCAGTCCCCGAACCTTGGAACCCCAACTCCTGAAACCCGGAACCCTGAGCCCTAAACCCTAAACTCTAAACCCTAAACCTACAGCCGACGCAGACCCCGCGGAAGATCACATCGAATGCTCCGCAGCAGGAGGCAACAGGCCACTGAGCTGCAGGGCTTTGGGCTTCATAAGGCTTTTAGGGTTTAAGGTTTAGGGTTTAGGGTTTAGCGTTGAGGGATGTAGGGCTTGGGGGTTTTGGGATAATACCGTCGAGGGCTTGTAGGGTTGAGGGGCTTGGGTTTGGCTTGTCGGCTTGTTGGGTGGACCCGCCTGGAAGCCCTCAAAGAGGAGGAAATATTTGGGGTTTACCCTTTGGGGGTGGTTTGGGGAGTCCTGTACTAAAAGTTGCACCCTAAACCCTGAACCATCCAGGTATAAACCCAAACTAGACCCTAAAAGTTGCACCCTAAATACCCATACAGATTGGTTGCTTGAGGGGTTTGGTTGAGCAGGCCACTATGTTTGTCATGTTCTTGTCGTGCTGTGTGCAACCAATGCCTCCAGTTCACTTGCAGCCACTACGTCGCCATGCCCTGCAAGGACCGAGGACGCCTCACCCCTCAAGGTGAGCAGACCCCATAAAATTGCTGAACTTCCGCCGAAAGCTAGTTCGAGCACCCATAAACCCCTAAACCACGCTGCATAACGGGGCTAAGGTGCCTCCCCTGCAACCAGTCCACCGGCGGCAGCTGCATCCAAGCCAAAGAGCACCATGGTTGCATCCAAGCCTCAAAAACCCTAAGCCCCATAAACCCTACACCCGCCCTAGTGTCCCTAAACCCGAGAATCCCGAGAAAGCCCTCAAACGGGCCCTAAACCCTGAATGGCTGACCATGAAACCCCCGAAGCTTTAGATAAGCATCTGGACCCGGGGTGTGGGTTTTGCGGGTCAAGCTTGCCCATGTCGGATCGAGAGGGGTTTTGTAGTGTTGAGGGTTGAGCGTTGAGGGTTTTGAGCGCTTTCGGATGGTTAGTCTCGGAACGTGTTGCATGGCCGGTTCTCTGAATTGCGGTATAGTAAGGGTACGGTTTGGGTTCCCAAGAAAGAGTTGACCATCTGCCCAGAGAAGACAGCAAACACCACCCCCCCCCCCCCCCCCCCCCCCCAACTCCTCACCCCAACAATGAGAAATCTAAACCCTAAACACCATCAAATCCACTCTAAAACCCCTAGACTTCCAATACAATCTAAGCTTGTGCATGGGCTCATGCACCTACGCATGAGTTTGCAGGGCAGGGTTTGTATGGTTTTTGGAGGTTGAGGAGGTTGGCCTCGCTCTATTCCTGACATGCCCAGTTCGGAATCTCCTGCGTCTGCGCACGCCTCTGCAGAAAGGAGCATCCTCGGGTCAGTCTAGGGTTTATGGGGTGTACTAGTAGGGTTTATGTAGGGCCGGGTGCCAGGGCTAATGCTTTGGGGACGGAGATTTTCTGTGGCTATTTAGGGACAGGTCCATTTTTGCAGAGCCTCGTGGTCTTGGGGTTTGCGCACATTTGTCTGCTTGATTTGGGGATCGGTTTCCTCAACCCCGAAACCTAAGCCCCAAGCCCTGAGCCCTGCATGAGCCCTAAATCCATCCCGGTCAAGCCGAACGCAAATCTCGACAGTCTTAGCACAGAACCCTCCCAACTCGAAGCCCAATCTTTCAACTCTTGGGGGAAATTCCCAAAACATCCCTAAGCCCCAAAACCCAACACCCTGAGCCCTGCACCATAAACTAAACCTCCGCCCTCAAAACTATAAACCCTCAACCCTGAAATCCCTACGCCCGAATTTGAACACTGCCTGTAGCTTCCAAGCACAACTTCCCGAAACCCTATACTCAAACCCTAAAAATCCCTACAAACCTTAGGAGAAGGGCACCTTTCTTGGTTCCTATCATCATGATTGGTGCATCTTGGAGTACCTAACACTGGCCGTATTTTTGGGCCCGAAGCCCTAAACCCTGAACCCTAAACCCGAAACTTCATAATTGCAGGACGGTGGAAAACGCTCCCACGTCTTTGCCAGGTCGGGGGCTGCAACCCGACTTCGCAAATGCAGTTCTGGATTTAAGGTTTGGGGTTTAGGGGTGTTGCAGCTGAGGATTCAGGATGCTGGGATTGGGGTGGTTTCGGGCATATGGATTCTGAGTTTAGTGTGTGGGTCATACAGCGTGCGTCCAGAGCAAAGGAGGGGCGATAACCAACAACGACATCTGCAGCAAGTTGTATGCTCATGCGCATATGTGGGGATGTGTCTTGCCAGTTGGATGGTACAAATAGCCAGTATCAGAATACTCTGGATATACCAGCATCCTGCATGACTCTCGAATCAGGGGAACTTGCTGGCCTTTCTGGATCTGTGGTGTTTGTCGCATCAAGAGCGTGCGATGGCAAGCTGAGGAAGACTTCCGCTTGCTTTGGACCAGCTCCTGCCTCATGAAACCCTAAATTGTCCAACGATCCTCACCATAAAGCTCGAAAACCGCACCAAGGATCCCTGGGGTTTAGGGTTTAGGGTCTATAGGCTTTAGGGTTTCGGGTTTAGGGTTTAGGGCAGCTCAGGCGGGCATCCCGTCCTGGAACCAGTCCGTTGGGAGAAGAAGGGCATGTTGCTGGCCCGCTGCGAGCCTTGATGGCACGATCGAGGGATGGGCTCCTGCTGAGATTGGTGGATTATGGTGGCTGCTAACCTTGCCGTAATGTTCATTCGGAACTCTGCGAAATTCAGGCGTCCCCAGCAGTTTCATCTCGTTTGTGTTTCTTCTCTATGCAGGGCCTGGTCTATGGTTGAAGTTATAGGCGGGATGAAAGGGTTAGGGGTTTAGGTGTTCAGGGTTTAGTAGTTTAGGGTTTAGTCGTTTAGGTGTTTAGGCGTTTAGGGTTTAGGAGTTTAGGGGTTTAGGGGTTTTTGGGGTTTAATTAGCATGTTCAGGAGACTAGGATATTGGGATTTAGGCGTTTAGGAGCTTAGGGTTTTGGAGTTTAAGGTTTAGGGCCTACGAGTTCAGGAATTTACGGTTTAAGGTGTGCGCGAGTTTGATTGCGTCACAATAAATGCCAGCACCCGCGGGAGCACTGGGAAGTGATGATGCCTGCCTTGCGATCTGAGGGAGGTAGGTCTTTGAAATAACGGTAATTTGAGGCGGTACCAGTTGCGAAAAGATTCGGGCTGTGGAAAATAAGGCTGACACCCCTGTATCCTATATCCCTAATCGCTGCGGATACGAAGGTTTTTGGGAGGCGGGTTGAACCCTAACCACGGCATCAAGGAAGGTTTTGGCTTTGGGGTGGGGAGCAGGGCGGAAGGGAGGGGGGAGGGGGGGGGGGGGGGAAGGGGGAGGAAGTGAGGGGGTTTAGGCCCGAACGGCTGCAGATAAAGAGGGTTTGTGCTCTCTGTCTAGGCCCGCTTAGGAAGTCGGAAGCTTTCAGAGACACAGAAGCCAGTACCATATGACCGGGGTTCGAGCCAGGGTCGCTCAGGATTCAAGCTCCGCGTCCGCTATAACATCCTATGTAGTTGCAGTATTATACTAGAACCTGAAAGGCTTCAACCTAGAAGGTTCTACACCCTTCGCAATCCTAACCGTGGCAGATAGGAACGTTTTGGGGCATATGTGATCCCCTATACGCACACTTGCAAAGCCCCGCCCGGAAACGCCCTCCGACCACCCCCTGAAAGGACCGAAGCCTAAGACCTTCCTGTCCGCGGTTAGGGCCGAACTGCCTTCCGACTACCCTTGAAAGGGCCGAAGCCCAAGTTTTCCTATCCGCAGCGGTTAGGCCCAAAATGTGCAGGGTTCGACAGCAGTAGAAGCTACTACCACACCACCAAGGAAAATCGGAGCACGAGGTGCGAAATGCGTTTGCGAGATACAAGCAACTATTGACATAGGGGCCTGTTTTGAATCAGGAATGTTAGGTTGTTTTCGCGTCCGGTGACTTTACATTCGCCTGCTCATACCCACTGCCAAACTAAGGCTAGGCAGCGTGAGGTCAGAGGACGCAAAAAGCCGAGTCAGCACACGTTCTACTCAAAGAGCCTTGCCTGCAGCTGGGATCCCAGCGCTAAACGTGTTGCCTTTCTCGGTGGGTTATTGGACTCCTCTAGGAACCTAACTGGACAAAAAGGGTATGCTTACGACGTTACGAGGGAGCAAAGGAATGTAACAGAGCCGCGTGCAGCACCGTGCCTTAGGCCTTAGACATCATGTCTTCATCCCCTGTAGCAGCAAGATGTCGCAACCTCCAGTCCTCAACCCTGCACCCTACACAAAAACCGAAACCCCAACCCCCCCATCCCAACCAATCGAACCGTCCATTCTTCAAAATCCGTTTATGGAACTTAGCCCAACACCTTGCACCACCCTAAATGCCAAGGCCCCTAGTCCCAAAAACTCAGGACTGCTTTCAAAGTCGAGCCCTAGACCCTAAATCCCTAGACCCTCACTGTCACTGGCCAAGGGATGGGAAGACCTGGGACTTCACGACGTCGCTCCACAAGCTCTTTCCATCGCGAAAGGATCCTCTGTGCTTAGTTTTGGCAGTTTGGAGCAGGAAAGTTCGGGGGTTGAGGTTTAGGGTCCTAAGCCCGAACTAAGCCCTAACCCCCTAGAGCTTAGGGCTGGGGCGTCGGGTTTCGGGCCGAATCTCTCCGCTCACTTGGTTGTGTAGGATGTTTCGGCTTCAGGGTTCTGGGTTTGCATTTTTATTTTGCAGTTGTGGGGCTGTAGCCACACACAGTAGGGCCAGGAGAAGGACAAGCTCGAGGATGAGAAGGTCAAGCAAGAGGTCAAGAAGGACGAGCGCCAAGACGACAAGCGCGCTTTGTCTGCAGATCTTTCCCTGACCTCGCGCTAAGCCTCACCATCCTCACCAGCATCGCCATTATCATCGTCATCAAACCACCATCAAGATCACCATCATCACCACTGCCACCGCCACCCTAAACCGCCATTGCCATCACCGCCATGAGCACCATCCCCCAGTCATCGCCAGCATCGCCAGCATCATCACAACCACCACCATCAACATCACCGCCGTATCATGGAGCACGAGCTTGACTACTCGTAGCAACATCGTTGCGCGTTCAAGAGTTTTGGCACGTGAGTTGTTGGAAAGAAGTGAAGCCTGGCCTGCCAAGTGCGACTGCCGGGGGGGGGGGGGGGGGGGGGGGGGGGGGGGGGCAATTCTGGCACGTTTGTTGCTGAACACTAGAAGAGGCATGAACATGTGAGAATTCCCATATGTGAATCCCTTGTATGGCTCAGGGCCCCAAGTTGGGGGCAGGTGAAGGGGGTTAGGTTGTCTAGGGCATTCAGTCTTAATATTAATCCTCTTGATCCTTTGCACCTGAATGGCGTAAAACATTGAAGCTCTCGAGGGCCTTCCCCACAGTGTTGAGGACATGAAGCCAACACAGGTTTGTTTTGTTCGTCTCAGAGCTTCTTCTTCAACTGCAACTTGAGAAGAGGGAGAAAGAGAGTGAGAGAGGACACAAGGTCCAAGAGCCTGGCTTGCATCTTGTGGTACCAAGTCCCAGATTCTTCGTCATGAATATAGCTGTTCATGAACCGCTCTGAACATGATGTACAGGGCTGCTCATGTCCATGGTTCATCCTGGAAGGTATGTGATACACTGATACAGAATACCAGGCTTCGAGATTGCCCGCCGCAGTCACCCCAAACCTCCCTCAGCTACAACGTGCAGAGAACACATGCCTAGCAGCCCTAAGCCCTACGTGTTAAGACTGTAGAAAAGGAGGCCCCAGAGTCAGTCATTGTCAGCTCGAAGCCCGCAGCCCCAAATCGATTAAACTAACAAGTAACCCTAAACCCCTGAATGCCCGAATGCCAGGTCAAAACCCTGAAGCCCAAACCATAGCATGACCGAGGCGCAGCAGCTGATCCTCCGGTGCAAGCAACCCGCCTCGCAACAGATGCACAGCTTTCTTTTGGGGTTTAGGGCTTAGGGTACTGGCAGGCCCCTGAAACAAACGCATAAACCGGCTCAAGCCTCAACTTCAAAACGCAAATCTCCGCTCATCCGGCTGGGGGCCTTTTGCATTGCGAGGCCAGCCGGCCTGCGCAGACATTCGATCATCTGTGGCTTGGCTAGTTCAAGCTTGGGTAGGTTTTCGGGCGGAGACAAAGCAGTAGCCCCAAAAACCTGAAGACCCCCAAAAACTTTAAAAGCCCCTAAAACCCCTAGAACCCTCGAACCCCAGGTTTAGGGTTTGCAGGGTCTGTCCGGTTTGAAAGTTCTGGGGTTGGGGGGTTGTAAGTTGTATACAGAGTCTGGACGCTTCGCCGAGGGGCTCCGAGGACTTGTGCGACCATGCCACGAGGAGCACGGTGGGTTTAGGGCTTAAGAGGGTTTAGGGTGTAGGGTTTAGGGGTTAGGGGTTTGGGTTTAGGGTTTAGGGTTTGCAGGTTTGCGGATTCAGGGGTCATGATTTTCGAGGTGGTGGGTTCAGTTTACACAAGCTTCAGATTTTAAGAGTCGGTCAGGCAGTTTTGGCGTTTGGATAGTCGCAACTTCGGGGTCACAAACCTGGACCCTAAACAACAAGACGGATTGGAGTACAAATTCAGGGGCCCATGCTTTTCGGTCTCTTGATCTACTCTTTGTACCGTTGTTCGGCTGGTTCCGGGTTTAGTGTTTAGGCTTTAGGGGTTCAGGGCTTAAACAGGGTGTTAGAGTCATAGGTTGTAGGGTTTGGGACTCAGGGTTTCTGACTGTCTTAGCTGCTGACAACCCTATTCCTGCTGTGCCTGCAACAAACCCTAAATCCCCGTAGCCAAAAAAAGAGAACATTCTATCCCCTGTTCCATCTGCCTGTCTCCTACAGATGATAGTGTGGTGATTGCCGGGGTAGTTCTTCCATAAGTTGGAACTCCTGCGCATTCCTGCTCTTGTGCCTTCGGACAAGACTAAGCGAAGAGGAGAGGGCCTTTGTCAGAGCCCCTGACCCTAAACCCGACACCCTAAACCCAAAACTGAACTCTCAACCTTTAAGTGCCAATAGTTGTCACAGGTTTATAGTCACCTACTTTGCGGAAAAGCAGTTCAAGCCGGTGGTGAGATGGCACCTGGCCGAAGTTGACATGTATCTCAAGTCTTGGAGACTTTTCTTCTTTTATTCAGAGAGAGACCTACAAGAGGCTTAGTAGAGTCCTACACTCTGTGCATGATGATGAATGAAACAGTATCCACAGTTCCCATGGGATTTCTACATGAATACGGAACATGCCCCGGCCACACTACTCGTAGCATAATCGCGGATACCGTGAAATTTGCTGCAAGACCTTAAGCTTCAGCATTGCCTGCCCCAAGTACCTGTGAACAAGGGTACCTGGCGGCTACGGTGTTGCAAAGAGGTAGTAGACTATTCGTAGACTTGTGGGGATCACGAACTCGAAGGCATGAGAGCACCGGCATGCTCAGGCTTGCAAACCGCACCAAATATGCAGCGTCTTGGGGTTCAAGGCTGCGGTGTTCAGGGAGTACAGCGATCTCTGTTGTTGTAGTTGCTGCCCAGGGCCGAGGGAGTGATGAGCTGTTGCTGCAGCAGTTGCGTTGTGTCAGTTGCCTAAACCCTAAACCCTAAACCCTGAAACCCTGGTTCTCGCATCCAAGGGTCATGCAGTGCATCGCTGAACGCAGCGATGGGAGCTCTGTTGTCATCAGGCAGCGAGCTCGTCGCGGCTGGGAATAAATTCGGATGCTGCCGCACAGAGCATGTCAATGGCGTTCCCCAAGATTCTACTGCAAGACTAAACTCTTAGTCCTGACCCTAAGCCCTAAACCTTGAACCTTAAACCCTGAACCCTGAAGCCTAAACCCTAAACCTAGCCAGCATCTTTTAAGGTTTCTTCTCGATGCTGAAGACTGATGCCACGAAGCTGGTGGAGGTGCTCCATTGGCTGTAGGGCTTAGGGCTTCAAACCCTAAACCCTTAAAACCCAAAACCCATGGGGGTTGGAGGGCTGTTGTATTGCAGGGATGATTCCTCTAGAAGCCCCCACTTAACCCTAAGTCCCAAGCCCACAACCTTCAACCATACACCTCAACTACTACCGCACACCCTAAACTTTGGAAACCCCAAGGTTCGGCTTTGGAAATTCCAAGTTTGCTTTAGTTTGAGGGTTGGGTGCCGTGTGGGGGGGGGAGGGGGCACGGGGGTCGCAATTTGGGGGGGCCCCCAAAAACTGTTTATGGGCCTGGCGGGGCCTTTTTTCGGAGTTTTCCTGTGGCCTTTTTTGGGGGCGCCCGAAGTTCTTTTGCTGCCTCTCGAATGTTGTTTGTTTTTTTGTTTCATGCCTTTCGCGTCGGGGGCCTGTGGCGGCCTGTTTTGGATTTCTTGTCTCGTTTGGACAGGCAAGCACAGAGGCTTAAGGAAATTGAGCATTTCAGCCTTGTGGGCTTGGAAAGAAATCCATCGAAATTGCAGGTTCAGGAGCTTTCAACACCTAAGCGGCACTGGGAACCTCGACCATGCCTGCCAAGAACGCGTAGGGCCGCTTGAAACGGGTCCACGGCCCAAATCCAGAGCTCTTCAAGCATTTCGGAGCCCTCTGCCCTAAACCTTACAGTCTCGAACTTGGGATGTTCCCCCGTTTTACTAACAGTCCGTAATAGGGATTACAGTACTCCCTACTAGAATCCTACTAAGGACTCAAGGAGGAACATCCCAATCTTGAACCATCGCAGGTGTTGGAGTTGCAAGACCGTTCCTCTGCCATGGACTTCGTGAAGAAGGCCAGGGCTGGGAGCATGTGGAGGTTTCCGAAATTAGGGGTACCTTCTTGGGGTCCTTGTTAGAAGGGAATCCTACTATTGGGAGGTTTATTTTAGGGGCCCCTTATTCTCGTAGACTCCCATCTCAGTAGACTAAAAGCCCGAAATGTCCAGCTGGAGTCCAGCTTCAGGCATTCTAATTGCCGCTTTTCTCGGCGCAAGCTTAGCACCCTGTAAAGGCGCCTTGTCTCTAAGGTCAAGAGTATGGTAGCCTTCTTGGACAGAATAAAGGAGCCCCTCAAGTATATATAGACTTATATGGATATACCATGCTTGTATGCTCGATGCGCTGCGGCATGTCTGACAGGATATTGTCGGTTAAACATATTGAGGGCCTGCATGAGGTGCTCACGCTTGTGACGGTTCCGGATCAACTTCGCCCAGGTGCCAATGTGAATGTTCCCAACAAAAGACATGTTCATGGTAAGCCTACACACTCCCGAAAATCGATCCTGAAACCCTTGCAAACCCTAAAACCAATTCACATCTTCGACCTAGGCCTCAGTCTTCAACTCCAAACCCTACATCGATTTAGGGCTCAGGTTTTAGGGTTTAGGGCTTGAACCCCAAGACGCAGGTGATGGGGTGAGGAAGCCTCGCGAAGGCTCCCGGTGCAGATGTTGGGGCATGGGGTGTAGGGTTGAGGGTTTAGGGTTCATGGGGTAGGGTTTTAGGGTTTAGGGTTATGATATCCTGGTGCTGGAGCACCAAGGCGGGAAGAATGAGAAAAGCGAAAAGCATGCAGACCAAAAGCGCTGGCAAATGCGATTCGGTACCCTTGGCGCCTGGACGGCCTGAAATACAATGCAAAAACAATGCGGAATAAATTCAAGATGTGGATGTGGAAGACATGAGGGAAAAAACAAGAAAAATGCAATGTCGATATACGGCCCGTGTATGTAAGCCTGGTCAAAGCTCCACATGCCCGAATTTGCATTTTCTTTGCTTTTTTTGTTGCACTCCAGCTGCATTTTTTGCTTGTGTAACATATATTTTCTGCAGCACTGGGTTCGAGTTGTTTGTTTTTCGTTGCTTTTCTGTTGCACTATTTTGGCTTTGTTAATTTAGGGTGGATGATGTCGCGCGTTCCAGGACCGGCGATCTTAAGTTTAGGGTTTAGGCTTTAGGGTTTAGGGGTCAGGGTTTAGGGCGTTTTCGGCTACATTGTTTGGGGCTTAGGGCCTCAGATTTCGAGCCGTGCCTGCTGCAGGCTGAAACTTCTTCGAACGGGAAGGGTTTAGGGGAAAAGGGTTTAGGGTTTAGGTTTTGGTGTGCGGGTTTCTTCAGAGCTTCTGCGCTACAGTGACAGCCCTCGGACTGCCAGGTAGCTGTCCAGGGAAAGCTCCGCCAAAGATTGGACCGCCATGTGCCTCTTACGTCGCTTGCCCGGAATTGCCCTGGCGCCTCACCAGGGGGGTTCCGGCCAAGATCTGGGACAACTGTTTAGATAGGCCTGGCACCTATAGGTGGCTCAACATTGCTAAGCCCTAAGCCCTAAGCTAAACCCCAAACCCCAAACCCCAAACCCTAAACCCTAAACCCTAAACCCTAAACCCTTGGGCCGTGTAGGTGCCAGGAGGCACGAGTCTCCCAACCGGTCCGACTTGGAAATCCCAGGAGGGCATGGGAAGTGTACGGACATGGGGTGTAGGCCCTCCAGCCGTCGGGGATCCAGAGATTTAGGGACTTAGGGTTTAAGAGTTAGGGTTTAGGGCAAAGGGTTTAAGGGGTTTAAGGAGTTCAAGGGTTTCAAGGGTTTAGGGTATGAGGGCTTTGGGGTTTGGGGTTTGGGGTTCATGGGTTCCGGGATGAGGATTTACTTCTTTTGGGAGGGTTTTCTGTGTATAAGGGTTTGTTAAAGCCTCCAAAACCAGGATTGCAAAACGTGCGCGCTGAGGATGCAGGGTAGCTGCAAGAAAGGGGTTTTAGGGTGTAGGGTACGTGCCATACCAGTCCCTACAGGCGCGAACGTGCTGTACCTTCTTCACGTTAAACCCGACAAGCTACCTCAAGGTTTAGGGTTTAGGGTTTAGAGTTTAGGGTTTAGGGTTTAGGGGATCAGCCCTGGAAAGCTGACTCCCATTGCCCGGGGATTCCAGTTCGGCCAGCTGGCTCTGAAATCTTCCAAGAGGCGTGCCTTTGCTGGCACGCTGACCCCGTTGAGGGGTAGACTTGTAGATCGTCGGCAGCGCGGCGCCCCTGCAAAATACCAGAACCCTGCCACTGCTGGGCAACTCCAGGCTCGAAGGGCAAAGCCGGTTCTGGGGTAGTCCGTTTAGGTTCAACAGGCCCGAGTAATGAGTGATCTTCGCTCTTTTTGGGGGCTTGTGTTGCTGAGGGGGCGCATGCCTGTCGTCCTCGAGCTTCTGCGCAAACCGCATTTAAATTTCCCGACACGCCGGCTCCCCAAACTACAGGTAAAAATCAAGGCACCCACGGCCCTAAGCCCAACAGCCCTAAACCTTACACCCGAAGCCCCTTCACGGAGGAGCATGTTGCCTAACATGTAGATGTGATGGGGTGTAGAGGCCTTGGGCAGCTGGGTTATAATGCTGAAAGAGCTCCAAAGGCATGAGGACTGGTATAAGCCGGCAAGCTGAACTTAGCGATCGACCAGTAGCGTTTACGCTTTAAGCTAGTTTTGGGTGTGGGCCTCGGCAGGTCGACTGACATCACCCATCCTAGGGTGGATTTAGAATAGTTTTAGATTTCTATACGTCCTGCTGCGTATAGCTCCCGAAGAACTCATAGACATGTAATGTTTATGGGGGTCCCCAAATCCCCCTAGCATCAATCGTTTTGGCTTCGATGGGCCTTCCGTCAGATCCTAGACGTCTTGCCGGTCCTTGCTGCACTTGCAAAAGAGAATCGAGTCAAGTGCCCAACCCCTGAGCCCTAAAATCCTTGATCCCTTAGCTCTTAAAATGCTCTAAACAGGTTTAGGGTTTCTGGTTTAGGACTGAGTGTTTCCCTAAAGGGCTGAGAGCTCTTGGTTTAGGACTGCGAGTTTAGCCCTGATGTGCAGCGTGGGCTAGCAAGATCGGCTTACATTTGAACACCGGGGTCGGAATAACTACTAGTCGTATTCCAGTAGGGTCCCTATATAATGATACTATAATCACCCCCCCCCCCCCCCCAAAAAAAAAAAAAAAAAAAAAACCTATTCTAGTTATTCAGGCCCCTAGACTAACCATAAACCCTAAACCCTAAACCCTAAACCCTAAACCCTAAACCCTAAACCCTAAACCCTAAACCCTAAACCCTAAACCCTAAACCCTAAACCCTAAACCCTAAACCCTAAACCCTAAACCCTAAACTGGACTCTTCAGCTGCCCGGAGATCCTGTGAAACCGGCGAGAAGCTGTGGAAACATGCCGGGCTGCCACGCTGGCAAAGAAGGGGTCCAGGAGTCCAGGGCTCTGGGGTGTCTTTTTGTTGTTGCGATGCCTCCCTTCTCTGCTTTTTTGTTTGGTTTTGTTGGGTTTCGGGGGTGGGGGGGGGGTGGGGGGGGGTGGGGGGAGAGGGGTGCTGAGGGCCTGCAGCTCACAGAACAAAGCCGTAGGGCCATGATCATAGGGAGCTGGGCAGGTGCTTCACACCTCTGCCGTACCCAACCCTCAAGCTGAAACCTCGAAGCTTCCACCTACGACCCCTCAGCCAGAATCGTTGCCTCAGCTGCTGCTGCTTTCACGCTTTCAAGATGACATGGCTTGCATGATGCAAGGCCCAGCACACAAAGGCTCATCTTCTTGTCCGTGCCCTGGACCTTAAAACCAACACTGTAACCCCAAGGCACAACTACAAGACTCACAAGACAAAACAACAGCAACACAGAAGCAGTAAAAGAATGAAGAATAAGAATAGTCTTGACAAGAAGAAGAACAGTGATTTTTCATACTTATAGAAACCGTCAACCGTCTCTTCTCTATCATGCCCACCCTTCGACTTCACTGGTGGGATGCGCCGGGCCGCGCTGGGGAACCGACGAGACTGGCACTCACACTGCAACCAGGTGAGAAGCAGCATTCTGCTACAGGGGGTTTAGGGTTTAGGGTTTAGGGTTAGGGTTTAGGGTTTAGGGTTTAGGGTTTAGGGTTTAGGGTTTAGGGTTTAGGGTTTAGGTTTTAGGTTTTAGGTTTTAGGTTTTAGGTTCTCAAGTTCCGGCTAATTCAGCAGTTCGTTGAGGGTCTCGACCCACGCTTCTACGATCTACAACACACGCGCCCGCCTGATGTTTGTGAGCTCCAAGACACAAGGAAGGGCATCCCCTTCGAAGACGTACGCCACAGCGCCCTATCTTCACCAGCCGGACGATGGGGCTGACGGACTGTTAGGGCTTAGGGTTTAGGGTTTAGGGTTGGGGTTTAGGGTTTAAGGTTTAGGGTTTAGGGTATAGGGTTTAGGGTTTAGGGTTTAGGGTTTAGGGTTCAGGGTTTAGGGTTCAGGGTTTAGGGTTTAGGCTTTAGGCTTTAGGCTTTAGGCTTTAGGCTTTAGGCTTTAGGGTTTAGGGTTTCATGGTTTCGGGCTCAGCCTTTCGAGTCCAGCTCCGTTCTCCCAACGTTTGTCGGGATTCGCTGTAGGCCTTAAAGCCTAAACCCCAAAACCTAAACCCCAAAACCTAAACCCCTAAACCTAAACCCCTAAACCTAAACCCCTAAACCTTAGGCTTCGGGAACCGCGAGAACGTCGAGGCCGTCAAAGTGAAGACGCCTTTTCAGCAGCTACCGATTCTCGAAGTGGATGGGGAGGCCCCACACTAAACCCAAAACCCGAAACCTTAAACCCTAAAGCCTAACGCCTAAAGCCTAAATCCTAAAGCCTAAAGCCTAAAGCCTCATTCCTAAACCCCCACCCTCATAAGGTTTAGGGTGTCGGGGTTTTGCGGGCCTCAGGAGCCTCAGGGTTTAGGGTTTAGGGTTAGGGTTTAGGGTTCAGGGTTTAGGGTTTAGCGTTTAGGGTTTAGGGTTTCCTGACGCAGGCGGTCGTGCAGTCGAACACCATCCTACGCTATGTCGGGCGCCTCACAGGGCTCCTGCCTGACGCGCCGCTGGCAGCAGCGAGGCATGGCCTTTAGGGTTTAGGGTTTAGGGTTTTGGGTTTTGGGTTTAGGGTTTAGGGTTCAGGGGTATTAGGGTTTAGGGGTATTAGGCTTTGGAGTTTTGGGGTTTGCCTTTCGCAGGTTTTTTTTGCGGGCTGATCTGTCGACACTGCCTAGGTTCTTTTGGCCAAATATGATAGACCCCCGCCAACCTTCAACTCTTTTACGTACAGCCCGGTAATCTTGAACCCTAGACCCTGAACCCAAAATCGCGAATCCCTAAACCCTAACCCTAAACCCTAAACCCTAAACCCTAAACCCTAAACCCTAAACCCCATAGAAGTTTTCGGGATGACCCCTCACCAGGCTCGAGGCAATCATGGACTTTATGGCCATGGACGTGGAGCCACTGGCCCTGTGTAGCCACCTGCAGGCCCACGGACCCGTGTGGTTGAAGGATGTTGAAGAAGGTCTAGCTTGGGGTTTAGGGTGTAGGGTGTGGGGTGTGGGGTGTAGTGTGTAGGGTGTAGGGTGTAGGGTGTAGGTTTAGGGTTTAGGGTTTAGGGTTTAGGGTTTAGGGTTTAGGGTTTAGGGTTTAGGGTTTTTGGCTGTGTGGTGAGCCTGAGCCGAAAGACACCCTAAAGCCTAAACGCAAGAACCCCGAACTCCCAGCTGAAAACCTAAACCCTGTAAGCCCTAAACCCTGTAAGCCCTAAACCTTGTAAGGCCTAAACCCCAAACCCCAAACCCCCTAAACCCTAAACCCTAAACCCTAAACCCTAAACCCTAAACCTGGTATGTGATTTTTGCTTCAGGGGGAGGAGAAGACCGCCGCACGGGTGGCGGCCGCTGCTGCTGGGAGCGCCTTTCGCAAGCGCCTGGGGCGCCTCGGATTGTACTTCAGGGTTTCGGGTTTCGGGTTTAGGTGTTTAGGGCGTTTAGGGACTTCGTAGGGTTTAAAGGCTGCGGCTTAGGCATTTAGGGTCTAGTTGTTGTTTTCTTTTCTTCCGGGGGGTGGGGAGGGGGGGGGGGGTGAGGGGGTTCGGGTTTATGCGCAGAAGTTGTCCCGACAGGCAGTTGGATGCCGCCATAGCGCCGCTGGTGGACCAGGAGATGGTCTTTTTTTTTTTTTTTTGGGGGGGGGGGGGGGGTGTATCATCCCGAGTAATTAAGGACCGTTAGTATAAGGGGGAACATCCCAACTTCTCGCCAACATGCAAGGCTCAAAGAAGCCTTGATTCATCCGTAGTCCGTCTAATGTGGAACCCCTTTTTGGGCAGGGTTGGGAAGGTTATATGTTCTATGCGAAGGCATTACAGAGAACTCTAGAACTAAACAAACCCGAAAACGCTAAATTTTAGGCCCTAAAGCCCTAAATCCCCACCCCCAAAGCCCACTACAACCCCAAAGGAGTGGAACAACCCAGAACACCCAACACCCAAACACCGGCAACCCCAAACAGAGTTACCCTAAGACCCCCAAAACCAACCCCTAAAACCCTAGAACCCTCAAAGGCGTTAACCGAACCATGAAGCCTAAAACCCTAGACCCTAGAACCCTACACCCTAAACCCGAAAGCCCTAAAACCTTGAGCCCTAAAACTCTCGAACCCCAGAACCCTACAAGGAGTTGGACCCTGAAACCCCAGAACCCTGGAACCTTGCAACGAGCTACCCTAAACCCGAAAACCCTAAACCCTACGGAACCCCAACAGGAGTTACCCTAAACCCGAAACCCAAAAAAACCTATAGAACCCTACAAGGAGTTGGACATGGCGCAGCTCAAGGTCTTCTGTGACCAGATGGGGACTTTACCACAACTTGCTCACTGCATTTCTTTCTTTGGGTTCGTCTATTTCGTATTCCGGGAGCTTAAAGCCCTAAAACCCTAAACCCTAAACGCCCCTAAACCCTAAACCCTAAACCCTAAAAGCCCTAAACCCTAAACTTCTATTGGGTGATTCAAGAGCAACCTTAAGGTGAGACCAGCACCTTCATCTCGGGCTTCTATGATGGCTTCCCTGCGGACGACACCCTCTTCGAGGGGTGCGAGAACATCAAGGCGTTTAGGGTTTAGGGTTTAGGGTTTAGGGTTTAGGGTTTAGGGTTTAGGGTTTAGGGGATTCTTCTCTTGAGTTCAGGGTTGAGGGCAAGACCCTAGGCTGTACGTTCTACTTCCATTTTTTAGGGGACTCTAAGACTACCTTACTTTGTTTTCAGGGCTCTCAGTACTCAGTACCTGGCAGGGTTTAGGGTTTAGGGTTTAGGGTTTAGGGTTTAGGGTTTAGGGTTTAGGGTTTAGGGTTTAGGGTTTAGGGTTTAGGGTTTAGGGCTTCCAGGCCTTGCGAAGAAAGATCTCCCACATGGACGCCGTCAAGAGCTACTACGCGGGCAGAGGCGGCTTCTACGCAGCCTTCGGGCCGAGCGGCTCCTGAGGGCTTAGGAGGTTGGGCTCTAATAGGGTTTTGGGCTCAGCGGTTTGTCTCAGAGTTTATAGGGTTTAGGGCTTAATTGGGGTTTAGGGTTTAGTTGGGGTTTCTTTAGGGTTCAGGGTTTAGGGTTTAAGGTTTGGGGTTTGGGGTTTGGGGTTTAGGGTTTAGGGTTAGGGTTTAGGGTTTAGGGTTTAGGGTTTAGGGTTTAGGGTTTAGGGTTTAGGGTTTAGGGTTTAGGGTTTAGGGTTTAGGATCGGAATGAGCAGCGAGCACAGGCGTGCAAACGGTCGGTGCCCAGTCTTGCCGCCGTGTTGCCGTGTGTATGTCTAGGACTGAGAATTGTTCGGTGTGTGCAGGGACTTTCGGGCTTCACCCTAAACTCTAAACCCTAAACCCTGAACCCCAAAGGCCACAAACCCTGAACCCCGACACCCTCAACTTGCAGGCGCCCCTGTCCCCGCTGCTATCACAGGACATCCCGACCCGAAACCCTAAACCCTAAGCCCTACACCCTAAGCCTAAACCCTAAGCCCCAAGCCCTAAACCCTAAACCCTAAACCCTAAGCCCTAAACCCTTCCCCCCTCCCCCCACCCCATCGAACTGGTCTTTCCCTGGGCTGGTTTGGGGCTGAGCACAAGTCTTGGAATCCCACACGCGACCACAACCCTAAACCCTAAACCCTAAACCCTAAACCCTAAACCCCGATATAAACCCACTTAAACGAACCACAAGACCGAAGTCCTAAGCCAGCCTAGACCCCAAAGAGTTTAGGGTTCAGGGTTCAGGGTCCGGGTTCAGGGTTCAGGGTTCAGGGTTTAGGGTTTAGGCCCCCCCGGTTTAGGGTTTTGGGTTTAGGGTTTTGGGTTCCATAAAGCCATGCAAGCTCCTTAGGGTTTAGGGTTGCAAGGGTTTAGCGTTTAGGATCAAACTTAGCCTAGGTAGTAGTGAATTGTCAGGCAACATATTTTGCCGACTGCGTTCGTGATTGGGTCTTACGGAGACTAGTGCCAAGTAGGGGCGTAACCCAAAGCCCTACAAACCCTGCAGACCCCACAAACCCCATAAACTTCATAAACCCCATAAAGCCTAGACACCCCAAACTCCAACCCCAAGCCCCAAACCCTCAACCCCAAACCCTAGACCCTAGACCCTAAACCCCAAACCCTAAGCCACAAACCCCAAACCCCAAACCCTAAACCCCAAACCCTAAACCCCAAACCCCAAACCCTAAACCCTAAACCCTAAACCCCAAACCATGCCTCATCCGGATCGTCCTCCTTGGGTCGGGCCGCAGCTGCTTTGGACCCTCAGCCTTGGGCTGTGACATGGGCAGCGCACTTCGGACACCCGGTGGCGTTTGCTAGGGTTTAGGGTGTTTAGGGTGTTTAGGGTGCTTAGGGTGCTTAGGGTGTTTAGGGTGTTTAGGCTTTGAGGGCTTAGGGTTTAGGATTTGAGGGTTTAAGGGTTTTGAGGGTTTGAAGGTGTGAGGATGCGAGGGTGTGACGGTTTGAGGGTTTGAGTCTAAGGGTGTGAGGGGGGTTTGAGGGTTTGAGGGTTTTAGAGTTTAGGGGTTTGAGGGCTTGAGGGTTTGAGCGTTTTAGGGTTTGAGGGTTTAGGGAATTTTGGGGGGGATGTACAGGTGTTTAGGGCAAGGGTTTGTCCCTGTGGCTCGGGGAGTTCAAGGTGCCAGGGTCCGGCCTTAGGGTTTAGGGTTTAGGGTTTAGGGTTTAGGGTTTAGGGTTTAGGGTTTAGGGTTTAGGGTTTAGGGTTTAGGGTTTAGGGTTTAGGGTTTAGGGTTTAGGGGCCCTGAAATCCAGGCCCGGTGTCTTCAGAAACCACAGCTGAACCCTGAAAGGGGCGGGGGAAAGTCTTTTCTGTGGGCCTTCCACGCCTAAGCCCTAAACCCTAGCCCTAAACCCTAAACCCTATTGGAGAGGATCCCTCCAGTGGCTTCATATGCTCCTCCGAAGCTTCCCAAAACCCTTGGCACCCCTCAGAGCCCGATGTCTCTAGGGGTTGGGGTTTAGGGTTTAGGGTTTCGGGTTTAGGGCTCGGGTTTAGGGCGAGGGTTTAGGGCTAGGGCTTCCCCAAGAAAAAGAAAGAGGAAGCGAAGCTCCAAAGAGCCACTCAGGTCGCTGCGGAAGTGCTGTTCATTCTTGATCCTCGGGCGTTCTTGGCAGTCTGGTAGTTCTTGTGGTTAAACCCGGTCCCGAAACCCTCCACCCTGAATCCCTGAGCCCCTTGAAACCCTCAACGCTGAATTCTAAACCCTAAACCCTAAACTAAACCTCTAACCCCTAACCCCTAAACCCTAAACCCTAATCCCTAAACCCTAAACCCTAAACCCTAAACCCTAAACCCTAAACCTGCCCTTAGATCCTTGTATTCCTATCCGACGAAGAGCGGATCCGAGGGTCCCAATGGCAGCCCCAGCGGAAGCGCCTGCCGATCTGGAAGGTCAAGTACTCAGCCCAAAAAGCGCAAAGGTTGGGGGTTTAGGGTTTAGGGTTTAGGATTCAGGGTTCAGGGTTTAGGGTTCAGGGTTCAGGGTTCAGGATTCGGGTTTAGACTTGAAAAGCTTTCCGTGTTGGGCCTGCGGGCTTTCGCCCTTGCAGACCTTTGCAGGACCAGACTGACAGGAGCAAGAAGAACCCCTATAAGGGGGAACATCCCAAGTTTAGGGTCAGAAGATCTTAAAATCTTTGAGCTTCAGCTTGGTCTTGGAGTGCTTGGGTTGAAGCGACTTCGGGCCTTTTGTGGAGTTCAGGGGGGTATGGAGAATAGCAGCGAGTTCCCCCAAACCTTAAGCGCTTGACCCCCATGCCGATACACCTGAAGCCCTATAAACCTCCCAATTTCAACGTTGATGATCATGTGCGAGATGCCGCCTTCATGGCAAAATCCCCCCGCCTTGACCTGAGTCTGAACGGAATATTCCCCTAAACTCTAGACCCTATAGACCCTAGACCCGAAAAGCTCCCAAATCCCTTCCTCTGTCAGGCGCCAAGGAAAGTGGTGGGGCGGCGCCGGCAGCGCCGTCAGGACTTGGGTTCTACCAGGGTCTAGGCTTGATGGGTTTAGGGTTTAGGGTTTAGCATTTATTGCTTAGGGTTTGTGTCCAATTCGCGCCCTGCACGCTTAGGGTTTGAGAGTTTGAGGGCTTAGAGTTTCGGTTGGTTCGGGTGAGGCTTTAGTGTTTCGTGTTGTAGGATGTTGCTTCAACTTTCTTGGCGCTTTGTGGGAGGGGTGCTGCATGCGCGTTGCGCATACCCTTCATCCTAAACTAAACCCGAAGCCCTAAACCCTAAAGTCGTTTTGGGGGTTTGGGGCGTACGCTTCATAAGGGAAGGAGACGACTGCAGGGGTCGATCAACTCCCACGAAAAATGCGGGCTTGGGGCTGCCCCAGGCTTCATGGGCACCTGGCTGCAGACACAGCACGCTTGCATCTGACACAGACAGCCCCCAGGAGTTGCGGCAGCAGATACCCGCATGATCCTCAAAGCAGCTGGCCTGCCTACAGACGTTCGTGCCTTTAAGCCCTGAACCTCTACACCCCTAAACCGCCAAACCCCCCTACACTGCTACCTAAACCGCCCCGAAACCTCTAAAGCCCTACAACTCCAAACTCCGAAGCCCCTACGCCCGTAATCTTTAAACCCCCAAGCCACTACTCCCAAAACCATAAACCCCCTAAACCCTAAACCCTAAACCCTAAACCCTTAAACCCTAAACCCTAAACCCTAAACCCTAAACCCTAAACCCTAAACCCATGCATCATGTATATCGACTTCCCCAAACACTAGGCCCCTAAATGTGCAGGGGCATTCGAGCCACAGTTCCCTGAAAAGAGGTGATTCAGGGTGTAGGAGTAGGGTTCAGGGTTTAGGGTTTATATGGGGTTTAGGGGTTGGTTTTTTCGCAGTTAGAGTTCAGTGTTTAGAGTTTGGGGTGGTGGAAGCCTGGTTTAAATTGTTGTTCAGAACCAGGCACCCAGACGCCCTGTACGTCGACAGCCCACCCTAAACCCTAAACCCTAAACCCTCAACCCTACATCCCAGAAGCGCCGGCCTAGACCATAAAGCCGCTTCGTGTTCAACGTGCAGGACAGTTGCCGGCAGGTAGTTTCCTTTAAGTAGGGTGTACATGTGGGCCTTTTTGTTGCATAAGCTACATCAGGCTTATAGAATCTGAACACAATCAGCTGTCCCCAACAATGGGGCCCCTTCCTCGCTGCAGGTTTCAGGAGAATACGACCTTGATGACCTGCAAGGCTCGTCTTTCTGCCCTTTTGTGGGCTGAGATTCATCTTTAGGGCCCCCCAAACTCCACCTCGAGGCTTCAGGGTTCAGAGCGTAGGTAGAGGGTGTAGGGGTTAGGGTTTAGGGTTTGGAGTTCGTTGCTGCAGTTGAAGATCTGTTCGGATCGGTAGCATTGTGGATCAGTGGATAAGATTTCCGGGGGGTCGGGATGGCAGGGGGAGGGAGCGAACGCATCGCTGCTGCATGCGCACTGACGTTGTGCTTCAGCTTGGCCCACCCAACCCCGAAACCTTCTAGATCCCTATAAGCCCTATAAGCCCCAAAAACCCTATAGATACTATAGATCCCATTCCTTTCTGAAGAATGCGAAACCATCAGCCGCTCAAGTGCCCCAGCTGGGGCAACGCAGCCTTGCAGACGTGGGGTCCCTCCATCTCATTCCTCAACCCAGCAGTACAGGGTTTAGGGTTCCATAAACCCTACACCCCAAACCCCAAACCCGAAGCTCTAAACCTTCCTCTAGGGTTCTGGTTTTGGGTGCGCTTAGTCCCCAAACCCTAAGCGGAGGCACATACACATTCGACAAAGCCAGCTGCATGTTGAGCGCCAAAGATGCGCCTTGGCTGAAGAGACTGCCAGAAGCCGAAACCTTTGTAAAAACTGAACCGAAGTAAAGCTTAGGCCATGCCAAGACCTGCTATGCTCCGACTTAGGCAGCAGTTTTTTAGAGAATTTGAAGTTCGATTGAGCTGATGTTTTTGATGGCGCCAAGGAGGGCTCTGATGCGGCGATTAGCATAGGGCCCTTCATCTTTGGGCCCATACAGGACAAGCCCTTGCCCGAGGTCGAGGGCATCTTGGCTGTCAAGAACCCTAAACCCCTAAACCCTAAACCCTAAACCCTAAACCCTAAACCCTAAACCCTAAACCCTAAACCCTAAACCCTAAACCCTAAACCCTAAACCCTAAACCCTCACCCCCTAAACCCTAAACCCTAAACCCTCACCCCCTAAACCCTAAACCCTAAACCACTAAGCCCTAAACCCTAAAAACCCTGAACCACCTCAGGGTGCATTTGCCCCTCAGCTCGGGTTAAGAAACCCCTCAACCCAGGGCTAAGCTTGCTGGTTCTTAGTAGGGAATGAGGGTACCCCATATCCCCCTACAATTGCCCTGTTAAGGGATTATGTACCTATAGTTCCCCCATTCCCTGCGAAGAAGGGGGGTCAGGGAAACTTGCCTGTTCCACTGCCGGCAAGAGTCTTGCAAGGCTACGAGAAGCTCCGGCAGCTCTGTGCAAGCTCGCGGCTCGGCCCGCAAGCCAACCACCTCGTTTTTCACCACGCCATGCGCGAATATTCAAGGTGTCCTCTCTGACCAGCTCTGAACTGATGGTCCCTCAAGGCCCTAAAGTCCGCAACGCCGCAATCTGTAGGGCGAACGTTAAGAATGCTGCATAGCGGAGGACTGAGTTCATCTGCAACTCTGAGATCATGGCAGAGATTCTTGGGCGTTCTTAAGAGGTCCAGTCTTGGGTTCAGGGGTGGAGGGGTTTTGATAGAGATGCATTGGAGTCTTTTATTTACATATATGTATTTGTATTTGTATGTGTATGTGTATGTGTATATGCTCAAGAACTTCTCGGACTCTGGGATTCACGTTTTGGTCTTTCAGTTTGGGGCCCAGCTCCGTTGCGTACCTTACATTTCGGGTCCTGGAGCAGAAGCAGCGGCCGTAGCAGGCAGCACTTGATTCGTTGTGCGGTTCCTGGGTGCCTTGTCTCCATGTTCAGGTAACCAGCGGCTGTATGTGGCTCCAGTACCAGCGCTACAAATGCCCTGGCACACGTAGCACTTGTGGAGGCATGCTTCATGGACTCGACACCAGGCCAAGAGAGACTTGTCCATGCCGTCCCTCTATGAGGCCCTGCGAGTGAGCAACTCTGCTGCAGAGGGAGAATTGCGTTCTGCTTACCGGCGACAGGCGCTGGCAACCCACCCGGACAAGGGAGGCACGCCAGAGGCTTTCAGGCTTGTGGTCGCTGCTTTTGAGACCCTCACGGATCCAGTGCGTCGGGCAGCATATGACCAGCAGTTGGCACGCAAAGCCGCGTTGGAGATACGGCGAGGCGACATGAATGGCCACAGCCAGGGTTCCAAGCCGACAAAGAGGCCAAGGGACCAAGGCGAACGGAGGGAACCAAAGAAGGCAAGGGGCAATGACGTGCGGGCGGCGGACAATGCAGCGGAGAGCGCTCCTGGAGCTGAGCGAACTCCTCAAGACACCGGCCACAAAACAGGCACGGAGAAGCTGCCAGAGAAGCCACCGCAGGATGGCCGAGGCTTTGCACTTCTGGTTCAAGAGCTGCTTGGGTTATCGCAACGAGCACTTCGGGCCCGCGTCAAGCGCATGTCGGAGGAGTTCTTGCGAGGTCTGCTGGAAGCCCTGGAGTGCTACGAGAAGGGTGCAGCGCAAGTAGCCGGCGCGTGCAGTTCTGATAGCAGCACACAGGCATCTGACAGCGAAGCAGAAGCATCTGAGGAAGCGGAGCCCATGCTGGCCATCTGCCATGTACCTTCAGGCGCGCCTGAAGACGATGGTGAGGATGCGAACGAGGGAGCCGTGGGTGACAAGAGCAAAGAGCAAGGCAGTGAGACAAAGCTTCTGCGGGGCATCTGTAGGATCAAGAGGGACCGTTCTTATCAGGCAAGTGTGGGTTTCAAAGGTGTTGGGGCATACTCGCAAAGGAGTGTGGATCTGGACAAAATCATCGACATGCATATCAGCATGGTACGAATGCGACAGCGTTTCTACGAGCACTTGGCTGCTGGCCAGGGCTTCAAAGAGGCCCTCAGTGATGCGGTCGCTGAGATGCATTCTGCCAGGGCCTCTTCAATGTCTCCCGCTATCCTTTTGCGTTTCCGCTATAGCCGCACGACCAAGAGCGTGCCCGCCCCGGACCTCCGCTGCAAAGCATTGCCTCTTGGTTGACGTTGGAAAGAGTTCTTTGCCAAAGATGAAAACTCTTCAGAAGCGGTTGCCATGAGTTCCATCAACAAGCTAGGTTCAAGAACCAGGGCATTCCGGACCAATTCCAGCACCGCGAGTTTGAATCCGTTATGACGTCGGAAGAAGCAAACTTGGAGATGCTGCAGAGCCTGATGAAGCACGGAGTCATAATCATGGACAACGTGACACCAGCCGAGGATGCCAGCGTGCTCTTGCACTTCGCGAACCAGTGCTTGGGAGGAATGCATCCAGAAGAAGGAGTCGGCAAAGAGTGTCAGCTATGCTCAGACCGTCCGGCTGAACAATCACACCGATCAGTCGGTGGCAGCACACGGCGTCCCAGCCCTTCTCTTGGTCGTCAACTATGTCCATGGGACAGGTTGTAACACCCTCGTGGACGGCTACGCCGTGGCGGAGGCCCTGCGAGAACGCGACCCCGCTGCCTTCAAGCTCCTGTCCACGTATGGCAACTGCCAGGAGAGGGACTTCATCAGGTCCAGAGTGGACTCAGCGCAGGAGGGGACCCAAACAATGCTGATCAGTACCGGCTGGCCTGGAGGTCCCAGGCCTTCGGGACTGCGTCCATGCTGAGCTCTACCTCAAAGATGGAAAGCTCTGCAACGGCCCGCTCCGAAAGGAGCTCGCTTTGGCCAAGAAGGATTTCAAGGAGCTGTCCGCCATCCAGCGCCAGAAGGGCGACGGGGCCCTGGAAGCTGAGGTCCAACGGAGGGAGCTGGATGCCATGACCGCCTTCTTTGTGGCCGGTGTGTAGGGTGTTGGAGCCATATGGTTCTGGGCATGAAAACACATCTCTGCTCTATCCGGCCTTGTGCTACACTGCAGGAACACAATAAACTGTGCTGTGCTTACTAGGTTCAGATGGTGCAATGTGTGATTCTGCAGCGCAGACCATAGGGGGATGAGTCAAAAGAGGCTTGGAACGGGGGCAGGAAGAGCTCCTGCAGCGAAGTCTTCGAGCCACCAGGGCGATTTCGCAAAATGTGGCGTCGGGTGCAAGATTTCGGAGGTAGGTGTAGGTTTCTGGGCTAACTTAGAGCATCGACGAGTCGTTGCTGCGGATCTTGTACATCTATGCATATGTGTCTGTATGTCTGTATGTATGTATGCATGCATGCATGCATGAATGTGTGCGCGTTTGTGACGAAGACGACCCTGCGCCCTTGAGCCCTGAAGCCCAGACCAATGCGACATGCGAAGGATCCAGAAGGACACGAACGACGGTGCACTGTTTGTTCTTCCCTCTCAACTGAATGGGGCGGAATATCCGTCACACAGTAGCGCAGCTCGGCAAGAACTGGAGGTTTGGGATTCAGGCGTTTAGGGCTTTCGGTTTAGGAGATTTTGGGTTTTTAGGGTTCGCATGCTGGCCACATGCAAGGTGGTGACCAGGGTCGTGGACTACAAGCGTCTTGTCAGCAGACCGCGAAACCCTACCTCCAGCTTCTCCCCAAGCCCCCTAAGCCCCCTAGACCCCGAGATTTAAGCCCTAAACCCTAAACCCCCAAATCCCTAGAGGCTGCACTGCAACGGAAAACCCAAGGTATGACAATACTGGTGGTCCCAGAGGCCGCCTTCTAAGTGCAGGGGGGGGGGTCAAGGCTAAGGATTATAGGGCTTGAGGAGTTTAGGGTCCAGGGCTTAGGGTGTAGGACTGTTTAGAGTTGTGTAGGGGTGAGGACATGATTGTAGGGTTGTTTTGGGCTTCAAGAATGCCCTAAACCCTAACCCCTGAACCTAAACCGGGTTTCAGAGGTTGTTCTGGTGTTCAGACTCTTGAGTTGCGGATAGAAGTCAGAAAGTTCGAGGGCTTGGGACGAGGGTGCAGGTTTGGGGTTTAGGAGGAAAACCAGGTTTATGGCTTCGAGTTTTGGGGTTCAGGATTTAGGGTTTTTGGGAACCCTAAGCCCTAAGCCCTAAACCCTAAGCCCAAAACCAGGGAAGGGGAGGGGGCGGGGGGAGAGAGGCGGGGGAGAGGGTCTCCGAGGGTGTTGGGAACCCTAAATGCCGAAGCCCAGCTCTAAACCCTAAACCCTGATCTACACACAAAACCCCTAAACCCTAAACCCTAAACCCTAAACCCTAAACCCTAAACCCTAAACCCTAAACCCTAAACCAACATGAGCCCTGAAGTCCCGAAAGCTCCCCAACTCAAACACTGAACGCTACCCCCTCGACCCCAGAAGCCCTTTCAAGCTCTAAACAACCCTAGACCCTAGACCCTAGACCCTAACCCCCAAACCCTAAACCCTAACCCCCTACCCCTGAACCCTAATCCCTAGTTTCACAGGACAGTTGGCCTGCCATCCCGCTGCTGCCCAGCCGCCTGTCCCGGATTTAGGGTTGTCAGGGCTTAGAGGGTTTAGGGTTTAGGGTTTAGGGTTTAGGAGTTTAGGGTTTAGGATTTAGGGTTTAGGATTTAGGGTTTAGGGTTTAGGGTCTAGGGTTTAGGGGTTTAGGGGTTTAGGGTTTAGGGTTTAGGGTTTAGGGTTTAGGGTTTAGGGTTTAGGGGGACTTAGAGAGGGCTTCCAGGGCGTATAGGGCTTAGCGCGTAGGGCTTAGCCGGCTTAGGGCTTACAGGGCAGGGCTGATAGGGTGATAGGGTTCTGGCCGTTTTTTTTCTCCGTGTTTTGGCTTTGTAAGGGTTTAGGGTTTAGGGTTTAGGGTTTGGGGTTTGGGGTTTGGGGTTTAGGGGTTTTGGGAGCTCATAGAGTTTCGGGATGGTGCGTAGTCCATAGGTGCTGCGCTGACCATGATAGGGATTTGGGTGTGTTAGCGTTAGGGTTCAGGGTTTAGGGCTTTTGTTGTATGTTGTGTTTTGTTTCGGATCCCAGTGCTTAAGAAGCCCGAAACACAAAACCCTTGCATCCTGACAAGTCATGCAAAGCAACATTCAGGTTTGTCCTGGACAACGCTGCGCACGAGAAGCGAAAGGAAGGCATCAACGCCGTGGACGTGCCTCTGCCTAAGCCGCAGACCCTAAAACAGACCCTTAATCCCCAACCCTAAACCCCGAACCCTGAGCCCCATGCCCCCTAAACCCTAGTTAACCCCGAAACCCCACACCCCAAACCATAAACCCTAAACCCTAAACCCTAAACGCCCTGCCAAAACCCCAAACCCTCAACCTGAAATTCCAAACCTTGAGTATCTAGACCAGGCCTCAGGTTATCAGAGGGAAGGGTTGAAGAGTTTCAAGTCTGAGGGAGGGTTTAGGGTTGAGGGTTGAGGGTTGAGGGTTGAGGGTTGAGGGTTGAGGGTTGAGGGTTGAGAGCTGAAGATGCCAGGGCTGCCAGAGCCCTGAAGCCCTTGCACCTTCCCCTGTTCCGCCTCATCCCCCACTCTGACATCTTTAGCTTGAGTTCTCTGCTTGCACCCGCAGCACAACAGGTTTAGGGTTTAGGGTTTGGGGTTTGGGGTTTGGGGTTTGGGGTTTGGGGTTTAGGGCTTACAGTTAGGGTTTGGGGCTTGGGGTTTGGGGTGTGGGGGGCCTCGAACCCGAACTCTTCCTTGCGTGGCGCCCCTGAGGTGTTGGAAGCAGAGCCAAGGTGTGGCTGCAGGCTGCACAATGGCTACCTTGAGGCACGGGCTGTGAGCTGCATCATTACCCTAAACCCTAAATCCCAAACCCTAACCCTAAACCCTAAACCCCATTCATCATTCAAGGAGCTGAGGGAGGGACCCTTCTAAGGGCCCTTAGGTCTTTGGGGCTGAATTAGGGGCTACTTGGGTATATAGGGACGATACAAGGGTTATCTAGGGGATGAAGGGTCCCTCCTAGGGGTCCCTTCTTATACCCCTTAAATTGGGTAAGGCAACCTCTGACCTTGGTTGGTTATTTGGGATCCTACTCTTTATAAAACGGTAAACTCTTTTGGGCCAGGATATTCAGCCCCCAAGTTGTTCTTCTTCAAGCCCTAAAGAATTCTTTAGGGGGGGGGGGGGGTTCGCTCGGGTTTCCGGGACTCAGGGCACCTGGGGTTTGGGATTCGGGGAGCAGGGCTAAGGGCTCTGCATTCCTAAACCCTAAACCCTGAACCCTAGAGGGCCTCTGCCCTGATTTCAGGACTTCAGCATGTCGTGTTATTTGGGAGTCTTTCTTGGCTTTGGGGGCCTGGGCTTCCTGCTTCAGGCTGGCTAGACCCCCAGAAATACACAAACCCCTCAACCCATGAACCCGAAACCCTAAACCCCAAACCCTAAACCCCAAACCCTAAACCCTAAACCCCAAACCTGTTTAAACCCGAAACCCTAAACCCCAAACCCTAAACCCCAAACCCTCCTTGAGGTGAAAGCAGTACCGGATCCTCAGAAAGCGGCCGAGTTCTTCAAAGCCCAGCTGCACTCTCTGCGGCCGTTGATCATGGAGGAGCCCTCCTTGTCTCTACGTACCCAAGGTTTTGAGGGTTTAGGGATTAGGATTGAGGGTTTAGGGATTAGGATTTAGGGTTTAGGGTTTAGGTTTTGGGGTTTAGGGTTTAGGGTTTACATGTGTTTTGAGCGTTTGTGCTGAGGCTGTCTGAACTGCTCAGGACATTCCTGCCACTGGCCTGAAGCCCAACAAAAGGAGTCTGAACGCGTCAGCCTCAGTTGCTGTAGGGGCTGAGAAGGTTATGGGTCACCTAGTTTCTTTCAGGTTCAGGGGGTCAGTAGCTTAGGGACTGAGAAGGTTGCCGGTCACCTAGAGTCTATTTCGGGTTCAGGGGTAAGGGTTTAGGGATTAGGGTTTAGGGTTTAGGGTTTCGGGTTTTGGGTTTAGGGTTTAGGGGTTTTGGGCTTGGGGTTGGTTTTGGCATCGGGGTTTTGTGCATTTGGCTTTCGGGTCCGGGGAAGCTTGGATGCGCTGCTGGGCATCGCTGCCCCACACGCCACAAAGGCAACACGACTAAACCCTAAACCCTAAACCCCAAACCCTAAACCCTAAACCCTAAACCCCTAAACCCCTAAACCCCCAAACCCTAGACCCCAAACATTTTGCAAAGAAAAATCATCAAAAAAAAACCGCAGCCTCGATAAAAGCCGGGAGCGCCGGATGACCTAAGCCCTAAACCCTAAACCCCCAAACTCCCGAACCCCTAAACCCCAATCCCTACTCCCTAAATCCCAAACCCTAAACCCTAAACCCAAACCCTAAACCCCAAACCCTGAACCCTAAACCATAAGCCCCTAAACCCCAAACCCAGAACCCTAAACCCTAAACCCCTAAACCCCTAAACCCCTAAACCCCTAAACCCCTAAACCCCTAAACCCCTAAACCCCTAAACCCCTAAACCCCTAAACCCCTAAACCCTCAAACCCTCAAACCCTCAAACCCTCAACCCCAACCCCAAACGCTGAACCCTAAGCCCTAATCCCTAAACCCTAAACCATAATCCTAAACCCTGAACCCTGAACCCTAAACCCTAAACCCTCTCCCAGGCTGGCACACACAGGGTTGGTCTGGTCTACGCTTCTGCAGTGCCCGTGAATACTTACCTGCATCTCGGGAGCACTCCCCCTAAACCATAAACCCTAAACCTGAACCCTAAACCCTAAACACTCTTTTTCGGTTTTTTGCGCTGGCGGGTTTACCCTAAACCCTAAACCCTAAACCCTAAACCCTAAACCCTAAACCCTAAACCCTAAACCCTAAACCCTAAACCCTAAACCCTAAACCCCAAACCCCAAACCCTAAACCCTAAACCCTAAACCCTAAAAGGTTCAAACTCTTCCGAAGCAGACGAGGAATCGGGCCACCAGTCAGGAGCACGTCACACACCAGAACGCAATCGCGGCTGCCGGGCTGGCAAAGAGTTTTTTTTCTGGGGTTAAGGGTTCAGGGTTTAGGGCTTAGGGTTTAGGGTTCAGGATTTAGGGTTTAGGGCTTAGGGTTTAGGGTTCAGGGTTTAGGGCTTAGGGTTTGGGGTTTAGGGTTTAAGAAGTAGGGTTCAGGGATTAGGGTTTAGGGCTCACGGGTTTAGAGTTCAGGGTTGAGGGTTCAGGGTATAGAGTTTAGGCCTAAACCCTCAGCGACTCGGACACCCAGCCATGTTGGGCCGAGTTCCGACACCCTAAGCCCTAAGCCTGGGGGGGGTCGGGAACCTTCAACCCAAAACCCTAAATCCGAAACCCGAAACCCTAGACCCCTAAACTCCTAGACCCCTAAACCCCTAAACCCCTAAACCCCTAAACCTCTAATCCCCTACACCCCTAAACCTAAATCCCTAAACCCCCAAACCCCTAAACCCCTAAACCCTAGACCCTAAACCCAAGCCCAAGCCCCGAAATCTCGGCATCCTACATGCCAAGGCATCTTAAACCCTAAACCCCTAAACCCCCCTAAACCCCCAAACCCTAAACCCCAAATGGAAGGGGGGGGAGGAGCTTCTCATTGTCCGACCGAGGAACTGGTACTCAAAGCTCAGTATTACGGAGCTCTGTGGCTTGGCAGTTCTGTGGTGCCCTTTTGCTGCCCTTTTGCCTGTTTTTTGTAGGGTTTAGGGTTTAGGGTGCAGGGTTTAGGGTTTAGGGTGCAGGGTTTAGGGTTTAGGGTTTGGGTTAAGGGGCTCCTTTTTTAGTAGCAGGGCTTAGAAGTTGGGTTTAGGGTTTAGGGTTTAGGGTTCAGGGTTTAGGGTTTAGGGTTTTAGGGTGTAGGGCTTCGGGTGGAAGGTTTAGGTAACCATCACCAGAAGGGCACCCCATCAGGGTGTGGTTGCCCGGCTACCAAGGAAGCATGCGGCGACGCATCCAGAGCGCCCAGCCGACGCAAAGCCGAGAAAAGTTTACCTGATGCCCTTGGGAGGCCTCAGCATCTAAAGCCCTAAATCCGGCGAAGCCCCAAAACCCTCAAAGCCCTACAAGCCCCTGATGAACCCTTTGTTATGAGACCTAAGCCTCCCCAAGCCCTTACGAACCCAGACCTTCTTCTAGACCCTTCTACACCCCAAATCCCAAACCCTAAACCCTAAACCCTAAACCCTAAACCCTGAACCCTAAACCCTAAACCCTAAACCCTAAACCCTGAACCCTGAACCCTGAACCCTGAACCCTGAACCCTTCCACACCCCTGAGGCCTGGTAGTAAATCCTAAAGCCTTGCAAGCCTTAGGCCCAAGCCTCCAGAGGGCTTTAGGGTGTGGGGTGAGCAGCCCCAGGCTCGAATCCCAAAAAGAGTTTAGGGTTTAGGGTTTAGGGTTTAGGGTTTAGGGTTTAGGGTTTAGGGTTTAGGGTTTAGGGTTTAGGGTTTAGGTTTTGAACCGCCCAAAAAAGCTAAATCCTAAGCCGCCAAAGCCAACCTCCCACAAAAAGGCGGGGTCTTCAACAACTCGTGGGACCTCATTGCAAGGCACCAGCCTTGCCAAGGGTTTAGGGGTTTAGGGTTTAGGGTTTAGGGTTTAGGGTTTATGGTTTAGGGTTTAGGGTTTAGGGTTTAGGGTTTAGGGTTTGGTTGGGGTTTAGGGCTTGTCGGTTCGGGGTTTATGGTTCAAGTGTTCGGGGCGTTGAGGGGCCGAGGTGTACCAGTGCAAACCGGGTTAGGGGCCACGGAGTGGGGTCTGGATAGGGCAGCAGGCGTTTAGATGTTCCACAAACGCCTTCAGCCTGAAACCTTAAACCCTAAACTGCAAACCCCAAGCCCTAAACCTAAACCCTAAACGCCCAAGCTAACCCTAAACCGTCAACTTTTTGAGTTTCGGGTTTGGGCGCCATGGCGTTTGCGCATTTTTTTGAGACCTGCATGGCATCTGTTACGCGTGCCTGCGTAAAGGAAAACCCTAAACACTAAAGAGTCCTGAGGGTTAGGGTTTAGCGAGCGAAAAGCCATTCGGACGTCAGTTCTGGCGAAATATCGCTTCAGCAACGGTTCAGAAGCTCAGAAGCTGGGGGCAATTCGTTGAACGGAAAGCCCGAATAGAGGCCTTAGTGATTAGAATAGGGTATTTTTTTTGGGGGGGGGGGTTATAACATGAGTAGTTATCCCAACCCTATGGTAGTGTAGCCCGAAATCGTAAGCCCGAAGCCGGCAGGAGCATGGCCACTGCCATCGAGATGCTGACCGAGGATGAGTTGAAACGTGTGGAGATTCATCCCCTGACGTGGTCCGGCAGTGCGAAAGAAAAGCGCCTCCTCTGAAATTGCTTTCTCGGGTTTTAGGGTTTAGGGTTTCAGGGTTTAGGGTTTCAGGGTTTAGGGTTTTAGGGTTTAGGGTTCTCTTTTGTTGAGTTGGGAGCCTCTTATATGGGGGCGGAATAAATACTTGTAGTATTCCCTTATGGTCCCTATAAAGGCCTGCTATAATAACCCCCAAAACCCTTGTTAAGGCCCTACAGTACGTTTTCATGCCAGTGGGGATGGGGCCTGAAACCCTAAACTCATCTCCCTCAGGGTGCAGGCCAGGGAGTTAGGACGTTTAGGGTTTAGGGTTTAGTGTTCTTAGGGTTTAGGGTTTAGGGCTTCGGGTTTTATAGGGTTTAGGGTTTAGGAGGGTCTTGACAGACGTAGGGCTGGGCTTTAGGTTGTTCGTGTGAAGGCTTCGTGTTGTAGGGTGCTTTGATACATGGCCGGGGCAGCTGAGGAACATGCTGGAGACGCATTTCGGTGAGCTGCTCTCGAAGTGATCCATTTTGCTCCAGGTACGCGTTTTGTTCGCGGATGTGAACCCTAATCCCAGACAAAGCTTTGCCACATCCGAAGCCCTCTGCTTGGCGGCCATAACAAGGCCCTTTTGAAACCCTAGATCCAGATGCTATAACCCCAAATGCAAAATGCCAGGACCGGGCGCTGTCCACAAGCCGCAATGTTCTGATTGTGATGGCGGGGTCAAAAAGTTTGCGAGCAGATGTTTGTGACAGTTTGTGACTCACAATCTTTGCCCAACAAGACAGCGAAGAACCGCCGCATTGCCGTCGTCCGTGTTCCTGTCTTTATCAAGCTCATTCAACATGCCCTAAGCATTCATAGTGTCAGAGGAACCAAAGTCCAAGATGCATTTAGATGAAAGTAAGTTCCTGACACAGTTCTCCAGTGCAGTTCACTATCGATTCTGCATGAAGGGGTGAGAAACTGTCTCCTCACACGAGCTCTTGGCCAACATGCTTGGGCAAACCTCCTGCTGCGCGCAGCGCCAGGAGGAGGTGGTAGATGCCCTGCTGAGGCGTGCCGAAGATCGCCTTGACAGGCTTTGCCAGCAGGTGCGCGCCAAGATTTCCAGGGAGATGGATGACGCAACCTGTAAGCTCCTGGCACGAGCAGCTCCAGGCTCTGAGTTTCTGGCTGCCGAGAGCGCCCCCGTGTTGCTTAGGCAGGCCCTTGGGATGTTTCTTTTGGATTTCTTGGGACATTTGCTTTTTAATATTTGCCTTTTTGAAGGCTTAAGATTAAGAGGATCTTATTCAGGAATATTTTTTCAGAGGCCTTTAGGGCCATCGGAGGTTGAATGAGTGGCCTGAAAATGATGCTGACCTGAAGACCACCACGCCAGACCCTCCCGCCGACGTGAACGACCCGCAGCGGGCACAATCCCGGCGCACCAGCACAATGATGAAGAAAAAGGATGAGCCGGGTGCGGCGCACCGCATCTTAGGGCTCCCCAGTACTGGCTCAGAGCGTGGTGCCGTGGTGGAAAGCAGTAGCTGGCTGCACGCCATGGGGCTACAGATCGTGACGAGCGCACGCTTTGAGTTCGTCAGCATGTCGATGATTGCGGCTAGGACCCAGAGTACGTAGGCCTTCCCTCCCTTTGTTTAGCGTTCAGGTTCTCTTATATGCCCGTTGGACCAATAAACAGCACACTTTGTGTACTCCTAGGTTACCTCTTGGGTCTAGGTGGTGTATTCGCTTGTGCTCGGCCTCCAGATCAATTACTTGGCAACGACTCTGACAGATGACGCAGGTTGGTGGGATGAGTTGGATGTGGCCTTTGGCGCCTACTTCCTTTTCGAGGTGGCCCTCAAGCTCTTCGTGTATCGCCTCAGCTTCTTCACTATGCATGGCTGCTTCTGGAACCTTACCTTATAATCGCCGAGTATATCCATAACCTTTTGGAGTATGTAAGATCCTGCCACAATTCAAAGCTTCACCTTTGTTGGCACAGGATATTCAGCAACTAGGTTACCTCTCCCAGCGGCCGCCATTTTCCCCGATTTTTTTTTTTTTTTTTGGGGGGGGGGGGGGGGCTGGATCGCGAAATCCTTATGAACTCTATCCGAGATACCTCCCAAAACAGGATGCCCCTCTGTTAAACCTTAAATCCGAGTTTAGGGTTTTAGGGTTTTAGAGTTTTAGGGTTTTAGGGCTTTAGGGCTTTAGGGTTTTAGCGTTTAAGGGTTTAAGGGTTTAGGGGTTTAGGGGTTTAGGGTTTAGGGGGCAATCCTAGGAACCTACTGGACTTGGTACTCTGTGCATTGCAGCTCTTCGAAGAAATCGCGATGCTGACGCTCTGGGGGGGCAACGTAGGGATGCCCCAGGCAGGGTTTAGGGTTTAGAGTTCAGGGTTCAAGTTTGGGTTTAGGTTTAGGGGTTGAGGGTTTAGGGTTAGGGGTATAGGGTTCAGGGCTTAGGGTTTAGGGTTTGATTATTGAAATTGTCTTGGGTTTGTGTCCTGGTTTTTTTTGGGGGTGGGCGGAGGGGGGTTGGGGGAGGTTTGCCGGGTTTTGCCGGGTCGCGTTCTGTTTTTGTTGCTTCTTGCTCTTCATTTTGCCTTCTGAGGCCTTTTGGCCTCTTCACTTTGGAGGGCTGTTGGGGCCTTGAAGACATGTCTCTTGAAGCCTTGTTGGGGTTCTTTGAAGGAGTTTTGTAGCACACCGAACTTGCAGGCTTTGAGAAATTGAAGGATTATTGTAGCCAATCGAAATCGCAAGTTCTGACTGAATTACGAACAATTTCTTTTTGGGGTGGGCCTTGAAGGTTTCGGGTTCAAGCAGGGAGCTTCCCCAATGTGTTCGGAATCCTCCCTTCTGAGTACACGCCAAATGTCACCCCCCAAAAAACCCTAGACGCTAAACCCCTAAACCCTACACCCTACACCCTAAACCCTAAACCCCTAAACCCTAAACCCTAAACCCTAAACCCCTGGTATCTCCAGGCCGGCGCCATGAGAACCGTACGCCTCCTGCGCAGCATTAAGGTGATGAGGCTGATCCGCGCGGTCAAGTTTGCTGAAGAGCTGCAACTTCTGGTGGGGGTTTCTGAACATTCGGGGTACCTTAATTAGGGTTTCGGGTTTAGGGTTTAGGGTTGAGGGTTGAGGGTTGAGGGTTTAGGGTTTAGGGTTTAGGGGGTACCTTCTTGGGGTCCTTATTGTAAGGGAATCCTATTATGCGGGGTCTATATTATTCAGGGTCCCTTATTTTCGAAAACCCGAAGGTGAGCTGCTTGTTGCTCTCGATGCAGACCTTCATGTGGGTGTTGGTGCTGCTGGTGATGACTGTTTATGTCATAGCGATCTACATTACGCAAACAGTGTACGTCTACAGGCTTGACAACCCGGGCAACGCGGAACTCGCGGACAAGTTTGGCACTTTGTGGGTTAGCATGCTGTCAGTCTTCCAATCTCTCACTGGAGGTATCTTTGTCGTAGTTTTGGGTAACATTTTATTCTTAAGGGTACTTAAACCCAATGAGGTTAAAACATTTTAATACTATCCGAACCATGAATCAGGTATGGATTGGAACGATGTGTCCGATCCCCTCATCAAGTACATCTCCCCGGCGTTTGGAACGGTCTACGTGGTTTACAATGCTTTCTGCTACCTGGCCCTGATGAATGTCATCACAGGCACCTTTGTGGAGGCGGTCAGTGAACAAGCAGAAGGCCTCAAAACTCGATCGCGGACGCTGAGGGCGCGCCAAGCTTTCCGCGACGTCGATGAGGATGAGTCCGGCCTGATAAACCTCTCCGAGCTCACCAGCTCTACAAATGCTGCAGCCATGGACGAGTTCTTCAGATCCTAGGTAGCCCAGTGGTACCCTTTACTTTTTTTGGTTATAGGTTCCCTTGTAAGATACACCAACCCCAAAAGGGGTGCCCTTATACTGATATGGTTGCTGGGCTACCAAGGATCGATGCGAGTGGAGCCGACTGAGGCCAAGAACCTCCTGGAGGTGTTGGACGAGGATTCCCTAGAAGGGACCCTTAATCTTCTTCCCCTTTATAACCCCCAGACATACCTTATATAGTCCCTATAAGCCTCAGTAGCCCCCAAATAACCCCTAGAGAACCTAAGTGAGTCCCTTGACAGGATGGATCTGGGACCATCAACTTCGATGAGTTCCTCCAGGGCACCCTGAGGCTTCACAGCCCGGCCAGGGAGGCAGACGTGGTGCTCTTGGGGCATGAGATGAAGCAGCTCTTCACGAGCACGCGGAAGGAGATGAAGCTCATCAGGGATTATTTGGAGAGGCCGGCTTGGAGTGCGTAGGAACCGAGTATCCTGAGGCCGATTAGGCCCCTGGGATCTTTTTTCTTGCCTTATTGGGGTTAGTAATTTAAGAGGATCATACTTCGAAATATCTTTCAGAGGGTTCTGAATCCTGGCTAATTATACATGAACCATTGAGAGGGTGTTTTTGGAAGAGCTCGTATCACCTAATTGAAGCCAAAGGCTTCTCATTGAATGCCCAAAAAGCTGTTGAGTGCATCATTAGCGCGTCCGTAGAATGAAAATGCCTGTTGCGCACGAGATCTTTACTGGTTTAGGGTCTAGGAATTCGGGTTGATTGAGCGAGGCTTATTCTTTGCAATGGTGATTTGAAAATTTTCGCCTCCTTAAAATAATTTGGTGTTATGGTACAATTTCCCCCGACATAACCATTGGGGGCTGGTGGTGGGTTTTTCAATAGATGAATTAGATTCGGGTATACTATCTATGATCAAAAATATATATCTTTTTTTACAAAAACAACAAAATACGAAATTTTTATATATGACTTCAAATCAATAAGTATATTAAATATCTATATTATTCTTAATTAAATTTCGATAGAATTCTCATGAGTCATGAAAATTAAGAAACGATGAAATATCGACTAGTTCAATATATTTGCGAGGAATTCTGATTTATAATTATAATATATATATACAGAAGAAAATTCATCTAATTCTCAAATAGAAGAATGATATTGATCTTCTCGATCCGATTATTTTTAATCTTTGATTTATGATAAATGAATATAGATATATCTAGAATATGAAAGCAAGATATTTCTAGGCATCACTTTTCCCACTCTGAGGATATATTGGCATGAGGTGTTTTGTGAGGGGGATGCTTGAATATTAGTCATGGCCCGACTTTGTTTTTGATATCTGTTGATATTTATTACGAAATGAATGGAATCTGAGAATCCCCCTTTTATTTCGGATGATAATATTTTCGGAATCTGGGGGACACGATCAATTTGAATTTTAATTCGGGGGGGGGGGGAGGGACGTATTCTTCGAGAAGATAGGGGGGATAGCGCCTAAGAAATGGTTACTAATAAATTGGTCCTTTTCTTTTGGGAATATAAGGAACTTATGATTTCATGGGTATTAGTTCATGATTCTCGAATGGATATATTGAAATATAGCTCCTAAAAATTTTGCATTTTCATGGGAATAGAAGTCTCTCAATGATGGAGGATATTTAATTCGTGCCTTTATTCTATTTGTTATATTTTTGAATTCGTATTCTTGGAAATATAAATTTCTCGCATATAGAGAATATAAATCATTCGGAAATATT